CCTTGAAACATCTAGATCCTTAAAAAATCTGGATATAAATTTTCCGTGACATCCTGCGACGTTCGTTTCGAGAATTCAGATCGCAGATTGTTTACTTTGGCAACGATAAAGGATATCCAGGACTCGATCTTGTGTCGACGAAGTGATCGTGAGATTTATTAGATTGTCCTCAACGTATCCTTACACGGAGACACGAGATCCGTAAAAGAAGTGTGTCTACGTTTATTTGTGAAGATTGGTGGATATGAACTGATCCGTACTCGTTAAAGACTTTTCGATCGATATGGAGGATCCAATGATCGCGGGAGTCGTTGGAATTTAGAAGTGGACACCTGTATTGAAACGCGGTTGTAGAGAGAGGTAGGTGCTTTTTATTAGAGAATAATCGTGATTTTACTATTCTATAAGTCTTTTGTGTGGTTTTGTGATTGAAAAATGTTTGGAAAGTTTGGGGAAAACTTGTGATGAATTTTCAGACTTTTCGACAGTGTGTTTGATTTGGCATGACGGAAGATATTGGGAATCGATCGTGAATACTGTCTCGATTGTGTGGACATTGAATTTTTCAATATTTCCTGTATAAACATTTTCCAATTTTGAACGTGGAAAACAAAATGTCAGAGCCCTTCAACGAAATATACGGTAACCGTGAATCTATTTCAAGCGGCCATATTTTTTCGCGCCAACGCAAGAAGATGGCACTTCCGTCCGCGTCTTTTCAAACCTTCCTGATACCACAAAAACCTTCTCTAGTTATTAAAAAGTTTGATCTTCTACATCGTGGAAGAATATACTTTTCGATCTGTTCATAGTTATAGATCGTTGATCATGAATGTTTGGAAAGACTGTTATATGTATCTAAAAAAACATGTAAATCATATTTCTCTCGATTATGTAGTTAAAAATATCTTTTAACACTAGAACTTCCTAAACAGTCAAAATAACTGGTTCATAAACTATTCTAGAAATGATTGAAATACAATCTAAACTATTCGTTTGTTCTCTAGACTTCCATATACTTGTATATTGTACCAAAGGGTTCATAACCCATTTATAAATAAATATTATTATTATTACTATTATTAAAACCACTGTAAAATTTTCGATCCCTATCTATTGTGATTAAAATAAAGACGGACCATTTATTTTCCATTTCCGAAGAAATATATCTCAGCAGGATCTCAGACATGGCATACTTGGTTCGTTTTTATTTCAACCACAATACATAAACAGTTGAAAATTCTACGATGGTTTTATAGTTACGCCACGTAGTGTATTTTCCCGAAAACGGAAGATTGTATATTTAATGAAAGCGTCCACGCAAAATGCAACTTGGCTTTGGCGAGCCGGTCTTCAACGACGATAAAAATAGCCGTGGTTTTGTAAACACGCCGACCAGCAGAAACAGAATCGTGTTCCGCGTCCTCTCGAATCAGAATAGATGAACAAACACATGACACCGAATCAACACAAGCCAGTCACGATCCCTGTTTACATGGATCGATGCACATTAACTCGTTACAGGTGAGAATCGTGTTTTTGAAAATCTGTCTACGTGCGTGATTAAAATCAAGGAGTAACGAGTGTATTAATTAAACGCAGAGTAAACACACAGACTGTGAATGTTCATGAACTATTTAACGGTGTTTGACGTGTAAATTCGTCATTACCCGAAAGGTAGACATTTCTTTATGGTAAGTATACTTGTCGAACACCGTTAAAGGTTTCGTATGTCGGTGATTATGAAAGTGGTACAAGTCAAATAACTAAAAAAGAAATAACGTTTTTCCTCGTATTTTATGTTATATCGATGGTTCGAAGTATAGATGGATACAGGATCGATAGATCGGTAGATCAATGGATGGATCGATCGATGGATCGATGGATAGATGAATCGATAGATCGCACGGTGTATTAAGGCGCCTAAAAGAACTGTTTCGTTGCGGTCGTGGTTGCGTTCACGACACGCAAAAAGAATGAACGTTGTTTCAGTTATTTGCCGCGGGAGCGAAAATGACTGATGACTTGTAACGTTTCGTAAGCGGGTCGGTTGCTTTATCACCATTGTGTTTTTGTTACGGCACTGGGAGGAGAATGTTTCTTCATAGAGGAAGTTGGTTTAAGCTGTTTTCAGCACGAGTCAAATTATTCGATTCCTTCGAATTACCGTAATTTTTTAATCTTAATGTAAAAAATTTGTTGAGCATCTTTGAGACCAAATAGGAGTAACGGTTTGAGTGACAGTAATTTTTTGAATCTTCTTCATATAAACAATGTTCCTTCGAACTTCTTTGAGCCCGCATAAGGTTCTCATGTTCGAGTCATTCAAATAACACCGTCTCATTTCCTGTACCATTAAATTCTCTGAATCACGTACGAATTAACGATAATTTTATCCGAAAACGAAACTCATCCGAGTTCATCCGATCTGGTAGCTCGAAAGCTCCTAACACGGTCGATTATGACTAGACTACGGATTTTATGCATTTATAGACGATTGGGGCCTGTGAAATACAATAAAAGAGAAAACTTTCATCGGATCCAACAATTTTTCTAGTTTTCCTGAACCCAATAAGATACTTATGAGAAGAAAGAAATTCTTACCATTGCTCTTGACTTTATTAATTACAGTAGAAAATGTCATTTTGCATAAAAATCCGCAGTTTAATTATGACATTCACGTATAAATCAATATTTTGAGTCAATATTTTGTGTCACCACTGAAACAATTCCCGATTAAACCGAACGCTGTTTACTCTCGAAACACAGGCTGCTCGAGCCGTTTTGCCGTTTTGTTGGGGATAATACACTTTTTGTATATATTTCGATACTGACTCAACTGTTCTCGATACGCGCAATCTGTGGGAATTAACGTATCCGTAATTACAAACATAATTACCGCAGCATTTGACATGATCCACTGTCCAGACACATTTTATGATCTAATGTTGTTATCAACGTTCCGTGTCTTCTCAATTCATTGGATATGATTTTCGCGTAAACAAACTTGCATTAATTCCTACGAGTTCCAAGAAGGGAAACTGTGATTCCGTTTCAAATCATTTTTGTTCGATTATGAAACGCCACAATTACAGTTTTATCATTTAACCGCGAACTTTCTGTATTTATAACACAGATAAAATAACGAGTGGAAGCAAAACACGACAAAATAATGTGCTTATAAATTGTTTAATTTATTTAACGATTGAAGACTCTATTGTGGTAAACGAACATCTACTTATAATTTCGAAGAGAACGTTTAATGCTAAATTGAACTTTTTAGTTCTCACGCAATACGTGTGCAAAATACTGAGGGTGATAGAGTGATTCTACCGAATTCTTACCGAACGGAAGTTACAAAATCTTTCCACCTGTGATTGGCTGCTCCCTTATAAATTTTAAAAAGTGTGTCTTAAAAAAAATTGATATCTAAAATTGTTCTCCTATCTACATAGGATTATTTTTTGTTTATTTCTTTAAACGGACAAGCAAAAGACCACCCATCGTGTTTGTTCCGCTGCTATCTACATTCTAAGTACCTATTGCAATTTTCGTAAGTGTTTGTCGACACGGGCGAACCGGTGCGCGACGAATAATTGAATAAACGTCCACGTTTAAATGATCCGTTTAAGGCCCGTTTAAAGGGAACCGCGTCTCGTGAGCGTTTTCTGAGTCACGGGACGATTATCTCGTTTCACGATTAGTCCCATCGGGTTGATTCACCGATGTCGCGACAACTACGTCTAGGCTATCCAACTGTGGACACTCAGAGAACTACATCGAAAACGAAGACTTATTATTTATTTATTTATTTATTTACAATAAACAATGTATTTTTAGGGACACATAGGTGGTACAGGATTCATATACAGGGTGTTCCGCTTAAAACATACCACCTAAATACCTTTTATAGAAACATTATTTACGTAATTTAAATGGTTTCGAAAGACGAATCGGATGGCGGTAAACACTTTTTACGAGTGTTATTTTTTAACGGTTTTTTCAAGGCCTAGAACTGAAAATCGCAAAACTTTTTATCTGTTGAACAGTGTAAACAAAGCTTGACCGATACTATCATCTTGGTCTCCATCGGGCAAAATTCTCAAACGCAGGCCACCGTAATTACCAAGATCGTCGGTGTTCAGCCAGCAGAGAGTCGCGATAATGCCGATTTGACGCGCAGATTCGCGATTGTCTTCGACGTAGGCCACCGGCAAGCAGTTGTTTTTTTGCTCGAAGCAACACGTCGCGAATGACTCGAAAAAAAAAATAAAAAAAAAAACTGCTTCGAGACACGAAGTCATTCTCGAAACAAATGAGCATGATACCGCGATTAACTTGTCGCGAAATGTAAAGGAAACACATACATACTTTGTTCTTTGAACAAACAATCCACTCGTATCGTTGAACGTCTCGTGATTTTTGGCCGAATTCGAACAGGAGGAAGTATACAATTCGATGTGTATTTATGTATTTCTTTTTTTTTTTTATGTATGGGAACCCGGGGTTAAAAGTAACAGGGCTAATAATTTTTAAAATAAAAGCGATAGCGTTATGATAACAAATAATTTCTAAATTCTGATAATTATTTATTATGATAATTAATTGATCTTATTAAAAAGATAATGTTATGTAAGTAGATCCCTTTAAGTTTTCGCTTCATGGTTACTGCACAACTGATAAGGAGGACCATTTTACGTTTTAAATAATAGAATTTTTTTCCAAAAATGTGGACCGACTTCGAAATACACTAAAGCGTAATAAATTTCTTCCACATTGTTTGAATAAAAATTTTTCGTTGGATCGCGGGACGGGATATCGGAGCAACATTTAACTGCTTCGGAGAAGGAAAAAACAGTTGGAAAACTGTTTGATTACTCTATTCTCCGGAGAAAACACGTTCAGATAAGATTCTATTCTCGAGTATTAAATCTACGATGAAATGTACTTTTTTTTTCTTTCCTCTCTTTGTATTATAGATACCGGATAGAGCGCACCTCGAATAAGATGATCACGCGGGTGAAGCTATGGTGGAAGCTCCTTCATTCCGGCCAGCAGAAAGGCGTAAGAAAATTATAACTGTATTTATATTAGATCGTCCGGAAAATGTGTAGTGTTTCGAGCACAAAGTGTCTTTATTTTCACTGGCTGAAGTTAGAGTCGTTTAAATTTATCCATGGGCGTAGCCAGGGGTTGGAAAAAAGTGGCTTTTGCCCCACCCTACAAGAAAAAAAATTAGATTTTGCCCTATGGTTACAAAATTTTTGCGTAAAATTTAATATTGCAGTATAATTGGAAACATGACCAACAGCCTCTATTAACAAAACGCATACATTTTCAACGAGTTAACAGGTTAAATACTTTTACAAAAACTTTTTCCGAGAAATGAAATATTTAATTTCCAAAAGTACACGTATGGATGTATAAAAAAAAATTAAAGAAATTGTTGTTTAATTTTATGTAGGATAAATTTTAAATTTTGAAGATTTATGTATTTTATGTATTTTAACCACCCTTAACCAAGGGAGCCCTCAAAGGTTCGATAGTATCGATTAATCCGGGCCTGCCAGTTATGGAACAATTTTAGTTTTATATTTTACAGGTTCTATTCAAATAAAAACTTTTGTTTACCTACACTCGTAGAGAACATTTTCTAAAAAAAGTTCCATGGTCCATGTTTTAAATAGAACTGATTAAAAAGTAGCATAACTTTTTCGATCTCTGCTATGTACACCTTATGGCACAGTGTCTGCGAGTCGCAGTAAATCATCTTCATTACATAATTCCCGAGCAAAGACGCTCGATCGTTAGCAACCGGGCAAATTGCTCTCCGGTTAATTGTCACCTGTGTCATCACTGATTCACCTGTGTATGTATAGAACGCACCTGTTGTATGTGTGTATGCGCCGGGAGTAGCTCGTCCTTTGGCAACGTCTTATCGTGCCGCTATCGGGCCGCAGATAAATTCGATTTGATTCAGGCTACCGAAAGGCTCGCGGTAGTTCATGATCCACAGTGTTCGATCATCGTCCGTGGGGGGCGAAAGTGGTTCTTCTGGTACACGTCGTGCATCAACGGAGCAATGGAATCGCGGAAGAGCCAAGAACAACGTGGATTATCCGGCGAGGGGAATGGGAACCGTTGCAAAAGCGTACGCGGCTGTAACAAAAATAATCGTGTGCACACACGGAACAACGAAACGATACCAATCTGTCCGGAAATTATCGCGCATTCGACCATCGTACATGGATAGATTCGTTTTATCGTAGAATTCTGTTTTCTGTTTGGAAATTGAAATAGGGGTGGAGGTTTCGAAATGTTGCCATTGAAAGCATCATCTGGTTTCCCAATTTCAAAGGACTTTCATGTATTTTTCCGTTAATCTGTTTTCCAAATTTCAAAGGAGTTTCCATCGATTTTCCAATTTCGAAGGACCTTTTGGTGTATTTTCCCAATTGGAAGGACTTTCATCTAATTTCCCAATTGCAAAGGATTTTCATCTACTTTCCCAATTTCAAAGGACTTTCATCTATGTTTCCTATGTAGCTACAGATGTGTGTCAATAAATCATCTTCAAGTATTTGTAATATTAATACAATATTATTATATTATTAACATAACATAGACCATCGTGTCGATCAATTTCAATATTCCAAAACGATTGCATACCCATTTATTTATGGGTCTTCAAAGATCGTTTCCCCACAAAATAACAATTGTATTAATTGTCATCCTTCTTCTCCTCTACCCTGTAACTCTCCTTGATCAATCGATCCCCAAATATCAATCAACTGAAACTGAACGTTTCAGCAAGAAACAAATGTCCCACCTTTGAATTCACCGTATACCCTCCCACAAACAATTGATAATATTCCACACAGGGGGGAGAGGAGTGGGGTGTTATGCAACTGCAACAAAGAAACCAGTCCATGAACTATTCAAACGACGTTGCACACCGATAAAACAAATACTTCCCAAGCTAGACCGAACTGAGTCAACGTTCAGTTCTCAACCCCAGACCGACGCGTAAGAAATAACGTACAAAAGAAAAGTGTTGTGTCGTAAAATGCGTGGGTTGAACAGAAGATCGTTTAAGGTGTGCGCACAACGGATGCTGAATACAAATAAGAACGAAAGAATCCAATAAAAAATTCCAATTTCAAACGTTCTGAATATTGTTTGAACGGACCTGGAAACCATTACACTCGTTCAATACGTTCGAAAATGATGAAACTAAACACGGTTTTTCGTGTTAATTGACCCACAAGGACACGGGAGTCGTATTTCGTACGGCACCGGTATGAAAAAGTCGTGGATTTCTGTAAGTTTTTTTACCTGAAAAATGTGATTTTTCATCCTAATTATCTACCATTAAAAATAGACCATTATTAAATTAAAAGAATAAGCAAAAAATCTTGTTGCTACTTTTTCAAATTACGAAAAAAGAAATATGTATTCGCAGTCCATGTCCTTGAGGGTTAAAGTTAATGAACACGATACTTCTTCTAGTTTCTTTCCCTGCACGTTGTAACGTCTAATTTTTTAGACATGAAGTTCAGTTCCATTCAGTGTCAAATCATCTCAGGAACCCCTCGTTTCCGGGAGTCGAAGATATTTTTGGACACCCTGAATATGACCCCTTATGAAATCGACAATGATCGACAACACGTGACGTAATGTATCATATCCCTTCAAGCCTGATTTCTAATTTCAGATACTCGCAGGATTAGCCGCGCATTCGGGGCAGGTGTCAGTCGGTCTGGGCCAAGGTTTCAGCGCGATCCTGATCCCTCAACTACTGCAAACCCATTTCGCAGACGTATCCGAGACGTCCTGGATAGCATCGTTAGGGGTCGTCTCCAATCCCCTAGGATCTTTAGTCGCTGGCCTATGCTCGGAATGGTTCGGAAGAAGATCAGCCATTGCCTTAGCAAGTTTACCACACGCGGCTGGCTGGCTGCTGATAGCATTATCGACGAACGTGCCCATGCTATACGCTGGCAGATTCATCAGCGGTATCGGCATGGGCATGGCGAACGGCCTCTACCTTTACGTCAGCGAGGTGTGTAATCGTTTTTGCACTTTCACGCAGTCACAAATCAGTGAATAATGAAATTCACTAAGGTCACATTAACCTTTACCCAGACACCATATGACGCCTTGAAGACGTCCATTTTTCACTGTATTGAAATATCAATTAGTAAGTGAACTAAAAAGCTTATTCAATCTCCTTAGACTGCGGCACCGAATCAAAGAGCCTGGCTGGGAAGCTGTGGCCCAGTCTTAGTCTCCGTTGGTGTCCTAATGATCTACACGTTAGGAGCGTTAACCACGTGGCAGAGAGCTGCAGCGATCAGCATCGGACCAACGATACTTTCCTTAGCACTGATTCGGTAAATACCAAAAAAAAAAAAAATTCAACGAAACGCGTGCAATGTGAATTTAACCACGTCAGACTTCTACACTATGTGGCATAACTATAAAATCACTCTAAAATTTTTAATTCTTGTATGCTGTGGTTAGCATAAAAACCACTTTCTTCTAGCATTTTTTGGAGCACCATTTCGGATTCTGTTCAAATTTCGATATTTTATCTTTAGTAATATATAAACGTATCTCGAAGGATTTAAAAAAATTTTGCAAATTGTTGATTTTACAGTTCAGTTCTTCGTGAAATCAACACTTTTCAAAATTTTCAAAAATCCTTCGAGATACGTTTATATATCGCTAAAGCCTACAACATATCGAAAGTTGAACGAAATCCAAAATGGAATGACATGTAAAACTGAATATTCTGTCCACCTCAGTATGATCCCAGAGACTCCAGAATGGCTGGTGGCCAGAGGCCGAAACGATGAAGCAAAACAATCCCTACTATGGCTACGAGGACCTGGTTCCACGACTGACAAGGAATACGAAGAACTCTGCGAGACGAACTTGAAACGAGAGAAAAAAAAGGAGAGCGTTGTCAAAGCTCTTCACACGCCAAGTGTTTGGAAGCCGTTCCTGATCCTCTTAACTTTCTTCGCCCTGCAACAAATGTCTGGGATCTATATAATCCTCTTTTACGCCGTCAACGTTCTCGAAGATATCGATATCAATATCGATATCAATGAGTACACAGCTAGTGTTGGGATCGGCGTGATCAGATTGTTCGCCTCGATCGCCGGTGCTGGATTGGCGAATAGCTTTGGCAGGAAAGTACTGGCCTTCGTGAGCGGCCTAGGAATGGCGATCTCGGCCGTAGGCGTTGCGCTGACCTTCAGGTACGCATTGTTATTTAATTAGAACTTCAATTAAAGCAGCGAAACAACAATACCGAAACAGTAGTTGTTCAGACACTGGGAGCTATTTCGCGAGTTCGGTTCTGCTGTGTCCCGATGCAATATCGATGACACAGCGGCTGTCATGAATATACCAACCTTTAAAATTTACGTATCCTGCCCTTAGGGACATAAATTACACCATAATGCTACATTTTACTAGTAGATAGTAGCGTGGAAATAAGCATTGAAAAACAGTTCCGATAATAAATGATAGAAATGATATATTTGTTAATTGTACATGAACTGTTGCACTTAAAAAAAATCTAAGGGCCTACAGCTGTAGTGCTCTTCGAGCCATTTATCTTTCTCCTTTGGCATTTTTTCATAAATGCATTAATAACGGAATTATAACCTAGAACAATTTCTCGAACCACCCTGTACACGAAATATTGATTGCACCGACACTTATAGTTATTTAACCTACTAATCACCATAAATTATAATTTATTATCGCAACTGTTTTTCAATGCTTATTTTCCACGACATTATCTACCAGTAAAAAGTAACATTATTGTGTAATTTATTTCCGTAAGGTCTGAATAAGTTAAGCGGTTGGTATATTTATGACATGTACTAATTTTCAGTCGTTTCTGTCGTGTCCTGATACAATACCAACGATATCATTGCAATTTGTAGCTCTCTACACACTCTATGACTAAAATAGCCGTAAAATAGGCGTCTTGAAGGCGTCATGTGCCGTCTGGGTAATAATTCAGAATGTTCACTAGCTAATACCAATGTCACTGATCTTCGAAGATACTCTAAAAGATTTTCGAAAGCACAAGAAATTCAATTCCCACCAGACTCTAATCAACATTATCCTGTCATAGATAAACATACGGAAACAAGCGCGATGATTGATTCCTCAAATAGAAAAAAAAAAACCTTACAATCGTCGATTCCTGAGAAAAAAGAGCCCCAATTCACATGTCTAACTCACGGACTCCTGGAAGAGATAATCATTCCCGATCGATATGTAGATCAGTGAGCACATAAAGCCACTAGGACGTTTCCTCTCCTTGACACCCATCAGACGCATCTTAAGCGGCATATGCACTTGGCAATTTTTTCGTAAATGAAACTTTTACATTATAATAAAATATAGTAAATGGTCAGAAATTTTGTTGTTATAAACAAATTATATTTTGGACAATTTGTTAGCACGGTGTTTATACGGTCAACTACAGTTGAAACCACTAGGTTGTTCAACCAAAAGTGGACCAACGGGTGAATTTTAGAACAATTAAAAGTCGTTTCAACTTGGTCGGCTGATCAAAAAGTTGCCTAGTGTAAACGCAGCTTTACTGACACAGTTTGCGGGAATGTTTCACAGGTTCAAATTACCGTCGATAGTGTCCTTGGTGTGCATTGGAGGCCACGTGGGATCCTCGATGTTAGGATATCTTACGCTTCCGTGGGTGATGACCTCGGAACTGTATCCTCTTCGGTTCAGAGGACCTCTGGGCGGCATCACCACCAGTCTGGCCCAATTGTTAACATTTGGAACGATTAAACTATATCCAAATCTTAGTTACATAGCTGGTATCGAGGGAATTATGTGGACATTTGCTGGCGCAAGCATCTTGGGGACATTATTTGCCGCCACGATTCTACCTGAGACCAGAGGTCGAAGTTTGGATCAGATAGAAAGCACCTTCTCTAACAAACCAGGACAAAATAATAGTGCTCAGACATTGCCAACCGTGTCCACGCAGTCGAGGAACATCACTTTAAAGAAATTCGCGTCAATCTCCGAGGAGAAACATACGAACATGATGGACAATGTGTACACTTATGATAATTTCTGTTTGGACCTGTCTCACGATGATGCTGCGAAAACTACGAAGGATTCGAGAAGAGAATCTGACGGAACGAACGACAACAGTGTTCATACTATCTCACTGGAACATGTTTATATCTGACGAAATAGATAAGAATTTGTTCTTGCGTGTCTAAACCAAAGCAAAACAGTTGTGGCTGTTAATGTGTCCCCCTGTCAGAGTTTGGCATTATTTTTTGATGAAAAATTATTTTCATACAAAATTATTTAGATACAAAATTACTTAGGTACAAAATTATTTAGACAAAAAATTATTTAGATAAAAAATTATTTGAATAAGGATTCGAATAAGAGTAACTTTATCTTTATTGGTTATTGAAAGTTCGAATGAAAAACAGTATGTTTATTCGACGAGCACCGAATAAATAAATTTATTCATTCGAGGCTCGTCGAATAGAGATATGTTGTTTTATTCGAAATTTGTATTTGGCTAAAAATTTTGCCCAACTCTGTTCCCTGTCAAGTTGGACCAATCGGAACTAATAGAGTGTAAGATCTACCTTGAATCAATAAAGGTCGCAAGTATTTTTTTTCTAGTGGAAGTATTACGAGTCTTTTGTAGGAAGGACTAGAAAAAAATCTCTGTTTGCAAAAGACTATATTTATAGTTGTTAATTTGTGGTTAGTTACTGGCACCATGGGAAGGACAAACATTTCGCAGACGATGATTTCTTGTGGGGTTCTCCTGACTTTTTTGTGATATTCCGATACTGATGACAATACCACGTATTTATTGAATGATCTATACTTGACCGACTCAATTCAGTATTAACGAACATTCCTATGCCTCTTTATTTTTTTTTAAACGTGTTCTTCATAAAAGCCATTACATAACATTGTGTTTGGGTCGCGTGATCCCCCAGAGAGACTTTATATGGAATGAGAACTTTTTCAATTGTGAGTGACTTGTGTTGTTTTGATAAAGAAAAAGTGCAATTGCGAGTATATATGGTACAGGAATGATGAGAATTTCTTTTTAATGCTGTCATTGTTAACCCTTCAAGTGTTTCATTTCATTTTGGAAACGTGCACTTGTGTGCTTAATTATTTTTAAGCTATGACGAGCATACTCGAAAAAAGAACAAAGTACATGTAAATGCATTTGCTGTGAAATTTAAATAAATTCGAAAAAAAATTACGAAATTACTCTTGCAACTTGATCGGCATCTATTGTCAAAAGAAAAGTCACTGACTTATCAGACAGCCCTCGTATATTATATACTGCTGCATATTTCATTTTTTTTCGAGTGATTTTTCTGTCTTTTTTTTTTGTCTAAAAATATTCTAAAATGTATTAAAACTGCGAATATGTTTTTTGTTTTACCTAAATTTTACTTTAAATAGCAAATGCAATTTTTTTTGTTTAATGACGAGTTTGTTCGTTATTAAACAAAAAAATGCCATCTTTTCACGACAAGTATACTCGATATAAACATCAAAAGGGTTAAAATAGAAAAAGGAAGCGTGGACATGAGGGGATCATTTTAGTATTACGGAATGTCTATAATATAAGTACCACGCGGGTCCGTTTATACTGTTTATATGTATACCTCAGATAGCACATGACGCCTTGAAGACGACTTAAAGACGCCTTAGACCTAAAATAGCCGTAAAATAGCCGTCTTTAAGGCGTCATGTCTGGGATAGACTGGTATTTATATTTATACGGATATTTGTATGTTGTACATTGTTAACACGTTTTTTGTTGTCATTGAATTATGTAACTCATAATATTTGTACATATATAGAATACTGTTAAAGCAACTTGTATATATAATGTTATTTGATATTGTGCAATACATCGAATATATTATTTTTTCCAGAAAACAGAGTAGTTTTTGTTATAAAATATACACATCGACGTTTCCGTCATTCAAAGAAGAGAGATTTAACGAGTAACATTTGCCATTATCGTGATTCATTACTGTTTTAGGCGTTCTAGCCTCAACATTCCAGATTTCTTTTAAAAACAATTGAAAATCAGCGGATTTTTCGACTTTCAAGCCATCTTTACATGTATCTACGTAGTGCTACGATTACAACTGTGTCGGTATCCTACTCAAATGGTAACAAAAATTTTTCAAGTCGCCAAAAATCTTTCTCGCAGTCATTTTAGTCAAAAACAACCTATTTCGAAAATTTCATCCAATTCGGTGCATGGAGGTTTTCGGAAGTACAGCCAATATTTATTAAAGAAGATTTATCGTTATTAAAAATATTGATCGAAAGAAAAGCTTTTTTTCTCACTCACAATTGTATCGATAAAGAAATTTTTCTTATCACTGTTGCTTTTACGCTAAAAACCAGTGTTAGTGCGCCACCGAACTGTAAAACGTGGTACTAATTGGATAGTAGCTTAAGCGTTATGCCATAGATGACACTACATGAACTGTAAACTGCGCGAAACCGAATGAAAATGCAAATACGATGATGATTCCATAAAGACAAATACGTAAAATTATTAATATTAAAACAATATCGCGACCGAGTAAATTACGAGTACTTTAAATTTAAATGTCGAAGTATTGTCGTTTAAATTTTCTAACGGTCAGAGAAGCATATTGGATGCTCCCACTGCGCAGTTGAATTCAAACTGTTTCACGAAAGAATTCTCGTTTGATCTTTACACAACAAATCACGAAACAACGATCACGCTCACGGCCATACACAATAAAAATACCGTAAAATAAAAATTTGTAGTGAAATGTCATCTATTTATTGTTATAACTTACCATAGTTGACCAATTTCCCGCTGAATTGCGTCTGAAGGCAGTCAACGGTCATGACGTCGGTGACAGATTCTGTCCTGTAGGAATTCTGAAGAAGAAAATAAACGTTAATCCTAAGTTGTCATACGAAATTAACAATGGCAGAGTAACAACGAAACAATTATTGACTCGAGAACATCTCCGAAAGGTTGCAAATTGAACAAAAACTGCGTAAATATGTACTAATAATTGATACGGGGTGAATAACGAATGTCATAAAGACCGATTCACTTTCTCCCGCAATACCGAATTAATTTACAATTATTCACACTGAATTAAATAAATATTAAACGAAGGTAATGATAGAGAGCTAATGACGGTACTAATAGTATAAATGTTTCGGAATAGAAGGTAATAATACGTACTTCACCACGAGCGAGGTCACTTCACGTCTTATCACTCACACTTCCCCGACACGAATGACCCTTAGGCTGTTTTTGACTAGGCGCTATCGGTGGATTCGGTTATCCTACGGTGGTCGTGATTGGTCGATCGGTAGGTGTACTTCGCCCACCCCCCTCCCAGTCCATTCCATTTTCTGTTTCAACGAAATAGAATATTCACCACCGTATTATATTTCAGAATAACATTGTTATTATACGCACCAAAGGTAACGGCCAATGACCCAGAAAACTGGAAAACCGAGGCACAAGGACAATTTCGCAGATGTCCCTTGGCTGTAAACAATTCCAAAGCCATATGTTTTGTGCCTCTGGTTGACCAATTTTCGAAAACTTGAATTTTCATACTCAGGAAAATGGAAAGTACAAAAGACAATCGTATAAAAATAAATCGTAACGTCGTTTATTGATTACAAATGGTCATGTAGTACAGATGCACGATATTGGCAGTAGCTCTTAAATTATAGCGCGATTTCGATGTGGTACAGTATTAAATTCCGCTGGAACTCACGTAATATACGTATGTGTATATATGTCACGGTTGATGGTATTGAAAAATATTTATCAATATGTACAACAGACACTGCTTTAATATCTTTCAGAGAAAAATAATGTATCTGAGTCCTCGCGCGTTTCGCATAAACTACGTACAAAATCGGAGATTGCTTCGTACTATTTTAAATATATCTATCGTTCCGCTCCTTTGCTTAAGCGATTATTGCAATACCAGTATGTACAATAAAAATACATATTTCGTGTGCACGATATGATTCAAGACCTGTTCCAATCGTTCCGACATATATATATATATATATATAAAAAAAACGAATAGCTTACTGAGCATTCTAGGTGTTATTTATGCGTCCATAATGGAACTAAGGTGTATTTGTAACATGTACTATGGATGTATACGCGTTTATTGCATTAATAAAGATTAATAAAGCTTCTTAATAAAGGGAATAAATTTCCATTGAATACTTTTGTTTGTAAATTAGTCGATAAAAATATGAGTCTGCATAAACATCCAAAGTTTAATAATAAGTAGAGAAGTAACAACGTGTAACGACTGTCAGAAACGCATATCTGATGGCAATACAATACGAAAACCCCAGTATTCACTAATACAATTTAGACAGTGCTCAAATCAGTGTCATTTAATCAACAGAAAGATGAACCCTTCAGAGGCCATATTTAGAATTAATTTAAATAGAATAAAATTAATTTCATAATCACAGTCAATTAATTAACGACAATAGTATTCCGTGGTATAACGTATAACAGAAGAAACAAATTCAAGTAGAAGAAAGAAAAGAAGGCAGTAATATGTATCTACGGTATAGATAATGTCTGAAGAGGACCCCACCCCTCGACTGGTATAAAAAGGGACGCACTGCCCAGAAGGCAGAAAGTATCTAGACGCGGTGGACGACGGTCACTTCAGGTCACTTATAATTACGGTAGTGATATAGATAGGCCAGTTTTGTGTTTCTTCGTGAAAACCGTGAATACAGTAACTGCCTGTAATTGCTTATTCATATTTTTCCAAGCCTATTTCTGCTTCTCTTCGTATTAGTATTGCTTAGTTACATTTAAATTTATATTATTTTGCATTTGCCAGAACCAAGAATTAACGATACTAATACATTTAAAAAAAAAGGACACTAATACGAAGAAAACGAACAATAGCATCAGAATATACAAACAAGCAATACTTATTTCTACGCACTTCTTTTAATCTGTACAAATAACGTCACTGCGTACAGAATATTCATTGCACATGTGTGTCTGACAGTGTCACGTGTCAAGTAATAAGACCAAGCTATACCGTGAGCTTGAGTTTAAAAAAATAAAATTCAAACCACCTTTCAGCGTCAATATTTACTTGAATAATTTACCGAGTATGAGACCCAAGACGGCCAAAGTGATATGACTATTGTCAGTAAAATTCGGAATCTGAACTGTGTTGCGAGTCACCGCTTCTTCCATTTAAATACACTTCTGACGTCTGTTGAATGGATGGTGAGTGTTGTGCCGATTCCCAGTGTTGACCTGCGCGATTATCGATTTGTTAAAAGTGTTTTTCATTGATATTGATAGAATTAAATGTACACAGAACGTACTGTGTGCAGCGAGTATAGTTGCCAAACAACGCGCCACGGCACGATTCGGAGCACAGGCCAATGCAGGAGTAAGGCCCTCAGCATCCACGGCTACGACACTTGCCCCCAATTGCAATAACCGTCTCGTTACCTGTCAAATGAAGTACCACATACACAGCAACTGATATTTCTCTGGTCCACATTATACGACACATTGCAAAAATTCAATTCACATTTCGATATTAACAGAATTTAATTGATTACTTTTACAAGCCCGTTTCTCGCTGCCAAATGCAACGGCGTCCTCTGTTGCTTGTTAGTCATGTTAATAACTGCTATTCGCTGCTGTTGAGTTTGCGAAAGATTTTCCCCGCTCGAATTCGTCGTGTCTATCCAATTTAATAACAGTGAAGCGGCTGCAGAATGTCGTCTTTGACACGCTAAATGTAACGCCGTGTTCTTATTGCAGTCGACTGCGCTTATATCAGCTTCCCATTCGAGTAACAATTCTGCCATTTAGAAAAATAATTATGAATATCAACAAACATCAGTGGAAATACGTTGCAAATTTTGTTTTTTTTTTAATTAAATGTAGCCTACCAATCACTCCACATTGGCCAGCCACAGCAGCACAGAGAAGCGGCGTTCGACCTAAATAATCTGCAGCCTCTATTCCAGCTAATTCCGGGCCGACGGAGTTCAAAATTAATCGTGCACACTCGATAGTTCCCGTGCTAGCTGTGATGTGCAAAGGCAGACGATCGCCCGGGCTATCTCTAAGTGCAGCAACTGCTTTACCGCCGAATTTATTTATCAATAATTCTAAGCAATCTATCGATCCCTGATAAACAGCACAATGAGCAGCGGAGAACGGATTACCTGTACGAAATGAAAAATGATTCATTGTTAATTTCATGAATGTAGTATTCGTTCGAAGAGAGAAAATATTTACCCTCCAAGGTATCGATTACATTCTGTTCTAGCAGATACTCGACGCAATTGGGATTCCCATTGTAACAGGCCCAATGAAGAACAGTACAATCCTGATCATCCTTTAATGTGGCCGCGACGGGATCTGCTTGGACCAGTGCAGCTAGTGCTTTTACTCTGTTGAAAGGCAAGAATCGAATAAAGTGAAACGACGGAGAACCCAGAGCTGGTATAATTTTTGTGAACCAACCTTCCACAAGCGGCGGCCAAATGCAATGGCGTTTTACCATTTGTGTCTTGCACCGCGACTTGCGCCCCATGCGATAACAACAACTTGACCAGCTGATGATCACGTTCGCTAAACACTGCTCGAAATAATGGCGTGTGTTTGTTTACATCTGGCAAATTACAATCGGCTTTATATTTCAAAAGTGAAGTGACGCACTCTGTATGACTGTTTGCCACTGCCAACGTCAGAGCAGTACGCTGCTTTGCGTCGTAACAGTTTACCACACTTGGGTCTTCTGCGTTTTCGAGAAGAAGTATCAGACAAGCATAGTAACCGGCGGCTGCCGCGCAGTGTATCGGAGTGCGTCTTCCAATGGAGTCCTACAAATAACGATAATCAGTGACCACGTTTCGATTATTAAAAATTCAGAATGATTTATGGTATGGTCGTACTTGAATAGAAACGAAAGCTCCGTGTCTTAGTAACAGTTCAACGCATTGTCGATAACCCTTCGAGGAAGCCAAATGTAAAGGGGTTTTGCCAGAATCCTCTTTGATGTTAGTGTTTGGAAATAATGGCAGCAGTAAACTTAATATTTTACTGTGTCCATAATACGCCTGTAAGGTTCGTATATTTAATAAGAAATTGTATCTTAATCGATAGAGGACATTGAAATATTAATTCTGTTAATCGTACGGCAAGATGTAACGGTGTTAACGCTGGTGGCGGTGGTTCTTCTTTTTCTGTGGAATTTGACAGCTCTGAGTTTATTTGCGGACAAGCTTCCAAAAGCGCTTCTAAAGCTGGCTGATTACCTCCAGCTACAGCGTAATGAATCGCGGTGAAGCCACGTTTGTCGCGTAAACGTGGATCTGCTCTGTGCTTCAGCAGATACTGCACGCATCTAGAAATGTGAAAGATTGGGGAGTAGTCTCTTCAATGTGTTATAGATTCGTTCAAACGTCGAAACACTCACTGAGCACCAGAATCGGTAGGATTCGATGCTGCCGCTAAATGCAGAGGGGTTGCACCATCTATGTCTTGTGCATTCGAATCACTTCCGAAACCGACCAATGTAAAGACGCAAAGATAATGTCCCTGACTGGCAGCGTAATGAAGCGCCAACCTATTGTCATTATCGGTTAATCGAAAATTAGCTCCGCTGGACAATAATAAATCTAGACAAACCACAGATCCTTTAAATGATGCTAAATGCAATGGTGTACTACCACCAACGTCTCTGGTATCTATACGGCGGCTGTCGACTTGTAACAATTTCCTACAGACCTGTAATTTATTACAAAAATGTTAAGTCTCGCAGGGAAAGTCTCCTTCGAATTTTCAATATCGAAATATTCTACCTCTATATGTCCTGCTAGGCAACTCAGGTGCAATGGTGTACGTAGCTCAGCGTTGCGGGCTGCTGGCGAAGCACCGTATTCTAGCAAAGCTGTCGTTAAACATTCGTGACCGAACCTATAGATAAATTAATACGATACAGAGACTCAATCGGTGATACAAGAAATTACTATCTCATCGTAATATCTACCAGGCAGCTATATGCAGAGCAGTATTTTTAATTTTATCCTCAGTGTCTGGTGACGCTCCAGCATCCAGTAGGCTTTTCGATCGCGTAAATGTCCCGTGGATTGCAGTCATATGTAAAGGCGTGTGTCCATCTTTCGAACGGACGTTGATCTTTGCACCAGCTTGTAAAAGTACGTCTAAACACTGAACACCATTTGGGCTAGCAGCGGCGATGTGTAGAGGAGTTTGTCGTTGGTAGTTCACAGTCTCTGTTCAGGTAACCGCTGGTTATAAAGCCAGTGAGATAACATTACGCTTAATACATTAGTAAATCATCTCACCAATGTTTACTCCTTTAGAAATCAACTCTCTGGCTGCTTCTGCGTTGCCGTTTAAACATGCAATGTGCAGAGGTGTGTTTCCATACCCGTTTTTCGCTTCGATGTCTGCTCCAGCTTCGATTAATATGTGCATGCAATCCGCTTTACCGGAAGCCGCAGCCGCGTGTAATGGAGTGTACAAATCTCGGTCCTTAAATGTAAATAAACGTGCAACTACAGAAACGATTACAACAGTTGAATATTTTTATGCTAATCTTCAACGTATTAAAAGTGTTTCTTTGCATTGTTTCCATTAGAGTTAATGAATTGTAGATCTCTTACTTTAACATTAACATCTGCTCCTTGAGTTATAAGTGTCTTCACAATATTATCGTGTCCCATAAATGCTGCGAAATGTAAAGCCCTACGATTTTTTCTATCGTAAGCATTTATTACACAGCCAATTCGAATCAAATACTCTGTCATTTCTAAGTGTCCGTTATAGGCTGCATGGTGTAAACTTGTTCTACCGCCTCTGAAAAGTTTCAAGGATTTGTTAATGCTGCCACATAAATATTGTAGGAATAGAAAAGAGAACAAGAAATGGATAATAATTACGATAGTAGCATTACTAGAAGTATCGAAGGCACAAACCTGTCAGCTACATTAAGATTTCTTAAGTATGGGACTATCAGTTCAGCACATTGTAGAGCATTATTCGCTGCAGCTACATGTAAAGGGGCCTGCCAACTGCGATCCCTGATACTGACATTAGCCTTATGGTGTAACAGAACACCTACTACATTATGATTCCCTGAGCAACAGGCCCTATGCAATGGGGTCAACCATTTCTTATCCTTAGCATTTACAGCAGCTCCATGCAACAGAAGCATTTCTACAATTGTTGCATCTCCCATGTATGCAGCTGCATGGAGGAGAGAACGTTGTTCTGAATCCTCCCAACTAGCATCTTCTTTTTTAGATAATAATGCTAAAACTTCTTCCACGTCTCCAAAAAATATAGCTCTCAATAGGGGAGGCTGTAAAGTATATCACATCCATGAAAAGAAATTCTAGTACCTAATAATGATAAGAAAACACTGCAGAAAGATCATAAAAATAACTACTTTATGCTTATGATGCTTACAATTATTTCGTATTAACTGGAATTTTCGAAATTTCGTTATATTTAAATAATTAATATGTATAAATATAATGCAAACGCTGCTATTTCGTTCCTGAAAAATCAAATGGAATCCAACGATTGACACATGAGTCTAACCTCCGGCTTTGCGCTTTGATTACCGTATAGTATGACGGTTCGAAGAAATGCATTTACCGAACGAAATAAAAGGACATACCCCATCGTATAATTCCTGCACGTTCATGATTAACCAGTTTCTTGATTCATACAAATACGGGGATATTTATAAAAAAACACAGTTACGGGACCGTAAAAACTGACATAGTGTGTGATTCATACTCCAACACGCACGGTCGGGTATGTTACTTTCATTTTTCCAGTGGACAATCCTCTTCGAAGCGTACGATCGACGTGAGGCCGTTGTCTTAGATTAACAGCGGCATTGTTTGTGTGAAAATAACTATCAAAATATGCATAATAATCCTATCCTCGAGTACAAACAGCAATGGCTATCTTCTCACGGTGCACTCCATCTTTGTTTCTGTCAAGTTATCAGGAGCTTGTAAACAGATGAATATAACATATACCCATGCACCGTAATCGCGCGAAAATTAAAGGCGTATTGATCATTTTGGGCTGATACTTAACGTCCTTAATTTGATTAAATTAACAACGAAGCATTACCATAAGCCTTCATTTTAATTTCCATTGATTTCCATCGTATCCGGATTGAGGATAGATTCGTAAAGGATGAAGGATTCGAATTAGTCTCCAGACGGTACATTCACTTTATCCAAACTTTTCAATCATTTTTATTAAATTTAAAATAAATCAACCTAAGGTGTACAATCCGTAAGTCAATTGTAAATGAAGTTTCCCACTTCAAATTTAATTCTTCTCGAGAAATATAATCACGTGAAGTGATAAGTTCTTATCTTTCGTTTGTTTCCTGTTACGCTACAAACAAATAGAAAAGCTGTTCACTCTGCAACGACAGCATTGAGTGAAAAATGTATAACCATATACTTGACCCATCTCAATGTTTAAAAGAAAAGAAAAAGGTTAAAAAAGATTTGAAAAACACGTTCCTTAGTGTATCGCCACCGAATGTAAAATTCTCTTTCAGTTCTGGGAACCTAAAGGTTCAGGAAAAAACGATAAAAATCACAAACTATTTTCCTAAACCATGTCCTATTCAGCCGTTACCAATGAAGACTCGTTATTTCCGGACCGGAAGTACCTCTCAGGTGAAGGAAAGATTCTTTGTTCTTCTAATTAGTATGGCATGAAATATTAATGAATGCATATATATTCATAGTAGACGAGGTGGCTAACCCCTGGATCAGTTTATACCATAATCATTCGTTTCATTCCGGACGAGCCAAGGGATTACAATGATATTTTGATGATTCGTTACTTGGACGATCAGATCTTGGAAGTTAAAATTGCAGGAACTGTTCGAATCCATTTGTCGTTTCCCAGAACCGTTAACTTTGGAGACGTTCCTCTGGGTCGAGCGTAAGTTTATTGTTCGTTGACCTGAAAATTCCTATAATCAGCGTAATTATCCATTATTTAAGGGCTTGCTATAAAATTCCGATATGTTCTTACGCAGAGAAACAATTTTCATTCGCTATCTTACCATCCAAGGAAGACCCGTGTGTCGACATCTATCCACGATGGGGTAAATTCAAATGTTCCGTTTGTCGACTGTATCGACAGGATAATAATTTTTTATTCGTTTTTTAGGCTATGTCAAGCCAAACGAGAAACCAATAATAATAATGGTGGTCTATAGACCCCTGCGATATATCAGCATGAATTTTCAAATTCGTATATTCATTACCGATTTGTGTAAAACTCCGTACGTTATCAATTTCTGTGCCTGCACTCGACCAGGACTTCTGCGGTGAGAACAGTAACAAATATTAATTTTTTAATTGAAAAAAAGATCGAGAATGTGCCAATTTTTTTAGGGAATTGCTGGAGAACGTTGAGCCGGAAACGGAAAGTGAAATACAACGGACAAAAATTAGCGCCATTTCTCATAAAAAAATAAAACCAATTTCCCTGCGAACAAGTACATCGAAATCTGGTACAAAAATGCCTACGCCGGTGGATACGAGCTTTGGAAAAAGTTTTTTAAACGAGTGTGGTTACTTTCCTTTATTTGCACTGCATACTGTTAATTGCACGTTGATTTCAAACATTCAAAAACCATGCAATGAACACGAGTTAAAAGGTTTTGAATTTTGAATGTAAATTTATGATTATCCGAAGAGAAATCGAATAATTTTTATTTTCTTAGGTCCCCTGAATGTATGCATGTCTCAAGTTATAAAGCAAAAGACTGAAAAGCTGAAAGAATTTTTAACAAAAGCAGAGCTTTATCGGAAGCAGAACGAAATGGCGATGATTCATCATAAACCGAAAGTAAATTATGGAACACGTGATTTTACCGAGAATCAGATACTCGAGATAAAAATACAGAGAGAACAAGAATGGAACGATTATAAATATTCGATGAAAACTCATAGCCCTGGAGAAGATCTATTTGAACGACAAAAAGCTAAAAAGATAAAGCAAAGGATCTTGCGAATGTCTCACAAAGTTCATATTTTTATCAATTATAAGACGTCTCTATATAGTTTTTCAAAAGTTAATTTCTTTATGAACTTATTTTTAGTATCCAAATACAATTTCGACGACGCCTGAGAAGCAGCAACCATTTCTACACTATTACAATATAATGCCCTTTCTTCAGGCAGCTAGAGGGATAATTTTAAGGAATCGCTTATTAAAAGTGCTTGAAAAATTCAAGGATTTGACGCCGGAATCACTTATTGAAACTCAAGAATCACTGATAAAATATGAATTATAATGAAATAAAATACTAAACAACTAAGGTCGTGATACGTCGATATGAAATCACAAATTACGATATGGTATCCTAAGTTTGTGGTTAAAATAAAATAAAATATATTCGACTACATTCTATTGATGATTTTGTGTATTGTAAATGTAATCTGATTAACCAGTAGAAATGTAACAATTTAAGTTTGAATTGTTTTTCTTTTTGCAAAACTCAAGACTACATTTTGTAGATGGCACTTCTATCGGTACCGCCAAAACTTAGGAAAAAGCGTCTGCTTTCTCCGCAGGGCAACAAATATTATGGCTAAGAATGTAGGTATTTCTATATAAATTCAATGTAATTTACCATTTATGCTGTTTATTAATCCCTGATTTCAGGTGCAGGAAATGTGTGTTACGATGTTTTATTAAAAGACGAATTTCTGCTCAATGATTTGTCTCTTGTACCCAATAATATTGTACAGATGGATTTGTGTTTCACATTTAATTGCAATGGAAAGGTGAACTTCAACGATTGGGAACTAAGTAAAGAAAGTTTGTTTTTGCGAGGCGAGGTAGAGAACGTTCTCTATCCGCAAGATGATACTCCACTGTCTGATGTGGACATGAAACTTTTTGATTACAATGTGCCTGCGTCCATAGGCATATTGGATTTAAAACATTATGTCAAATGCATGGGGTAAGAATTTTTGCTTTGCTCCAATACCAAAACTATTCTCATTTATGTTGACACTGTTCTAATATTTTTTTAGGATGCAATTGAAGATATTGAGCAGGCACGAGACTTACAATCAAGTTTTAAATTCCAAGAGAGATGATACAGATTTTTATTCTATAAGACGTATTGTGTGTGAATTTCTGTTGTACATTAGAATATATTTAAACAGGTGAGACAATTTATTCTTTAATCCTCTCTGATAAGTGTGTTGTTTTATAATACGAATTTTGTAGTATTAAATGGAATCTTCAGTCTTTGGAAATTATAAACGAAAACATCGAAGAAGAATTCAACAGATTATTTATTACCGTAAAAAATTTCCTAAGTAGGCTGAAAAATATTCCGGATGCCACGTTTCATTACGCATGTTCTAAGTTAGGCAATCAGGTTTGTGTAAAAAAGTATAATGGTAATATGAGAATTGAAATTGAATACAAAAGCTTTATGAGATCTAATTTATCACCCTTTATAGATCTTAAGATAATGTTAATGACTGTTTTATTATATTACTTGTATATTATAGTGTAAACAACCAGAATATCATATGTACCATATGCACATAGAGTTACGATGGTTTTTTATTTCGTTGGTGTACACACGAAGTCTATATTGTCAGTATTCAATGGAGAGTCAGTTGGATGAATTTGAAAATATTCAAGGAACGATTATCAATGATCTCATTTATATATCGCTAAAGATATTTGAAACAGTAAGTTTGTCTATTAGAAAGATTTGAATAAATATTAACAAATATTTTCTACATGCGTCTTACCACATATTTCAGATGTCTTTAATAAACATGCAACAAAAAACTCCATATAATTGTACTTGCGTTCGTGAGTTATGGCTAATGCTTCAAATATTCACTGACAGCCTGTCCGACAGAATGAAAACAAAGGTATTAAACTTGAAGTTTAGTATGGGCATATTTTTAAAGCAATTTTTTCAAAAAAAATATATGTTTACAGACATTCTGGGGCTACGTAAATGATAGTATTAATGGATTATTAAACAGTGGGGTGTTTAGCAGCCAACCAGAATCTTTGTCCTACGCCTTAGCACCTTGCAAAAACTCTGAATTGTTCTGTTTATGGATAGTTCATAATCTTACACTTTTATATGGGTATAATATCGACGGGATATATTTAGGCTCCAAATGTTCAAGGGTATTTTCTGTTTTAACTTGTTTTCTTTATTATTGCCAAAGTCTACGAAATTTCAACGATTTATTTGTATTTTCAAAGATTAGACCGAATTACGAGCAGCTGGAAAAAATTTTGAAAACCTATATCTCGAAAGGCGGGAAGGACGGCGACAGAGACGAAATTGACGAAGAATTACGTGTGATGATTCCCCTATTAAATACCATTGTTACTAATTGGTGGCAGCCACGAGTGTCAATAATTTCCCTTCTCTGGGACTGTTTTCATAAAAGATTAGGCGAGCCATTCTTGTTACAAACATCTGGACCTTGGACTTTGTCAGTTGAAAAGTAAGGGAACAATTTGTGTAACTGTATGTTTATTTCTTTGATGATCTATAAAGAATATTTCGAATAGGAAGACTGCTATGGATATCCTTAAGCAAGTAAGGGACCGAATAAATAACGCAGAATGTGTTAAAGAATCTAGTTATGGAATGTTTTTACGTTTTCTTGGTAAATATGCTTCTGTATAAACACGTTATATAGAATGATACCGATATATTAATTTGAAAACTACATTACAGGATCGTTCTTGCAGATAAACTATAGCAGCAGTGATACAAAGCATTGGAATCAAATTAAAGGTCGAATCTATTCGAAGTTTTCTAAGAGTAAAGTACAAGAATTTTCAGTAACAGGCTTGTACAATTTCATTTCCCTGTTTCTAACATTAGCGGTTACTGCAGACACTATAAACGTAGTAAGTTATGCATAAGATCTTGAAATCTTTCAAATATTCTTGCGCTCTATAATAAATTTATTATGGTCTCTGCTTTTTTCACAGTGTTCAGTAATGTTAGATCTTCTACCACCCACAAAAGAATACAACAACGATACCAGTAAAAGGTGTAGCTTAATTTGGAAGGGAAAATTGGCTATTCTACTTCTGTACAGCGAACTAAATCTTAATTTTACAAACGTAGCAACTAGCTATATAGACACGGTATAATATAAAGTTCATATTTGATAAATTCTGTATGTTCATAGGACTAATTTAATTGTATTTTCAGGTGAATACAATAAGTTGTCGTAAAGATGATACTTCCCGGTCGATGATGATCAATTTCGTGGATGTATTGAGTATAATTTTGTCGTCTAGCAAAATAGAATTAGAAGAACACTTGCTACTCGGTGGTTGGATAGATCGGTACTTAGTCGAATGTTCGAGTAAAATGGTCGGGACATTAACAAAAGTACTTATTAACGTTTTTCAGAAATGTGTTAACGTTTCTAATTCAGGTTCGTTGTTTCTTTTATTTTTAAACAACCCTTACCCATTTTGTTTTAGTTTTTTTTTTATTTGTTAAGTGTAGATGGAGTAGGAAGAATGTTAGACGCTTTGTGGTGTTATGTTGCATGTAGAATACGACAACTTGTTTTCGACCCTGTACTTACTAGTGATCATTATCGGGATGTCTCAAAACTTGCTGTGTTATTTACTTTGGATGCTCTGAGAAATCCTGTGATAGCAAAAAAGCACAAGCATTCGGCTATGTCTTTGTTTCAGCACTTTGCATCTTCGTTGATTGTAAAAAACATTAGGTACCATTATCGTATACAGTTCTATGTTAATGTTACAATTAAGAAATATCTTGTTTAAAAACCATTCGCTTGCAGAATTACAAGGCACTACTTAGTACTGATACTCGAAGATAAATCAGCAGTCGAAGCTCTAAAAAAGGAAATAAAAAATTTCGACACAATACTTGTACAGGTGACATAGAAAATCAAAACTCCTATGGAAATTATTGTGAACGATATGGTGTTTATACATTTTCGATGAATTTCAGGCGTGGATTAAATGTTCCATTATAGGTCATGATACAAACGGAGTTGAAATTAATATTATACAAGATTACATATTGTCGCTCGGTGAAATACAACAAATGTTTGTAACGCATCAGGATATTCAAGAATTTCAGAACAGTAACGAGTCTATTTTAGTGTTCATGATGTATTCTATGAAGAAACGAAACACTTTAAAAGTTAGAGTTTAAAGAAATACTTTAAAGATTCAGAAAATATAAAATATATATAAATTATTAATCATCTTTTCCAGACGGAACAAGAACGAATTCAGTATGATGCAAAATGGAGATCATATTTTAATCACTTGGAAAAATGGATCCTTGCACCAATTACAGAAGAAACTAAAGACACAGAATTAGCTTTGTGGATATACAGATGTATCGGAACATTAATTCTTTGTAGTTCGACAATGTTGTATTCCAAAGTGAGTAAAACTTAATGTATTTGCAAAGTGTTTTAATCCGAGTATTGTGCTAATCGAATTCTTCTTTAAGAACCAACCGAATAACATGTTCAAAATGTTACTGAACAAAGCTATTCTTTCATCCGACCAATTGTTTTTGAAAAATCTGGGCAAGAAGACATTTTCCATGATACTTTTGGGAACAGAGGCTCTCAATGTTAAAAGCAATATATCGCTTCAAATACTGATCAAAGACCTCTTTGATCAATACATGCCGCTCTTGATAACTCCCGTTAATAATACAAATAACTTTAAAGTATCCGATTCGTTGTTAAAGTGCTTTAAGGATGGAAACGCAGACTTTATACATTTAATGTTTGAAATATTGATGACAAATTTTCTTTCCATTTCAAGTGACAACACGATGCACAAACATTTTTATCTAGTAAGTACTATTCCCTTTTGGTTTTATATGGTTCTTCTAAATTATATTAAACTTCTGTATATTTTCTAATGCAGGTGATGATATTCCTGCAAACTCTACTGAAAGGAGGAACAGATTACGCCAGTTATGTAACAGAATATATTATTTTAATTTGTACGCCTTATATTATCAGCGGATACGTAAGAGTTCACGAATCTCATCCCCACAGGCAACATGCTATAGATTTTATGAAGCATGTTATCAGAAGTCCATATTACAAAGAAAGCCATATTTTACAGTCAGTATTATTTTTAATTTGTACAACATATTTTAAAGTTATATTTTAAGAGAAGGAATCATTTCAGGGAAAAGTTCAACAATGTCATATCGAGCACTGTCCAAAAATCAATTATAACGAATCAGCACAATACTTTTGCATTTCTGCGATCGATTTTATCGGTGAAGATTGAAATAGTACACTCTCTATCGCCCCTTATTAAACGTATCTTAATTGATTCGGAGCGGAATCGTCGCCCGAACACGGCATCCTTAAGGTGATATTCCGATAAATATACAGGGTGTTTCAAAATAATTTCGACTCCCGGAAATGAGGGATTCCTCGGATGATTTAAACACCTTTTTCCTTAGCGAAAATCTTGTACGAACATTACATATATTTCAGGTACTCCTGGAATCAGCTTGAAACCGCTATGAGAAACGTAAACGGGAACCAGTAGTAAGTTTAAAAAAATTTATTAATAAATAATCGGCAGTACCACGAAGATACTTGATCGTATTATGCTACATGTCCAGTGTCTATATTTAAATTGTATAAACATATAGCTGTGCATCTGTGTACATATCTGTATGAAATTATATTTTATAAATGATACTCACCTAAAGCAATAATGCACGAATAACTAAGACCCAGAAAGATAGTTAATGTTATATACGATACAGATATGTTATATAATTTGTCAAGCTACAGGCATATGTAAATTTCATCGATTCAGAAATGATCGTACCTGCTTCGGGGGGGGGGGGGAATGAATTGTATTTTACAAAGTATGTAAAAAAACAAAACAACGGTCGTTTTTTCTTTCTATTTTCGATGCGAGTGTCTTGACCGATGATGCTTCAACGACGTAGTAGTTGTACTACCGGGGGGCGATCGTCATCCAATTAATTCAAGGCGAGAAACTGCGCCACGCAGAGCACTCCGTAAAGACTGTTCGGCGTTACCGTTTACCAATGACTCTAATCGTTCGACATAATTGTCGATATTTTGTAAGGTTGCACCTTCGTGTGTGCCTAAAATTGAATAATCGCTGTCATTACCTCAAGATTAATTAAACAATTAACCTAACTTCGGAGATCGTAACCGTTATTTAAACCAAAATCGACGATGTAGTCCACAATTGCAAAATATTTATAACTGTAGCAAGGAGAAATAAAAAGTCAGCACAGCCTTCGACTTGGTTTAGACAGTGATTACTGTCCTTCAGTATCTCATTCTTTAAATTTATAGTAGAAAATAACCTGGAAGAGGCACCGTCGCGAAACAGCCGGCTAACTGCGAACGTAGGGAATCCAAGTGACGTTGTAAAGCTTGATTCGTCGTGCGTTGTTGATTTGTTTCAGATTCCAAACGATTTACAGCTGCGTACAGACTGTCCACGTGCCGTTGAAGAACAGCATTTTGTGCCTCATAGTCGGATGTAGCTTTTCGTAATTGCCGTAGTTCTGCTTCGCATGCTGCAACACATCAAGGATCATTGTAAATATATATCAAAGACAAATGACTTTGTAAATATGTTATATGTATACACGTTTCGCTCACCTTTATTGTGATCTAAAAATTCTTCTGTAAAAATTGGAATATCGAACCCTGTGAAATCATTGTCTTTTTCCTGTTGAATATCCTAATAAAAGATGATATACGTTAAAGAGACAGTGAAAATAATCCATTAAATGATAAATAATAGAAAAAGGAAAGTACAGTACATTTTGCTCAGGATTCACATCAGTCCCGTTTCTTTCCTTTTTACTTTCTTGCTGCTTCTCCAAGGACTGTTTTTCATTGAACAAACGGTACGCCTCTGTTTGCTTATAATCGCTGAATTCACGATTATAACGTTCTTTGTCTTGCTCTGCCGCATCTAAGTACTGCTGTTTCTGGTCAGCTGGTAATGAACTCCACTCTGACGCAAGAAGCTTTGTGATTTCAGTAAATGATAGATTTGGATTATCGCTCCTTACTTTTTCTCTTCGATCGTTTAAGAACCTATATTATAATTCATTAACAGTTCCAAATGAAATAAAAATTTTATTGAACTATATACTAAATTGACTTTTGATAGTTGTGCATGCTATGAACGCATGAAACCTACAGTCTAATCATTAATGCATCTTCCCTTAGATCCTTTGTACCTGTACAATATTTTAATGGCATGCAAACCATACCTAAAGTATCCAGTGAGTGGTTGCTTTGGAGCAGTTGCATCTCTTGGAGCTTTCTTACGTTTTTTCGATCTATTACTTGTACTAGTGGTATTGCTTACAATACCAGAATTTGTATTATTCTTCTTCACACCATTGTCGCATATAGAATCAGGAGCTTTATCTTCTGCACTTACAGGTGATTTATCTAATAAACGAATCATTACTGTGAATACTATTACAAGTAACAAAAGTGAATACTATACACATGTATTTGAAGATTAACAAAATTCAAATCACTTCTATGTTCCTCAATTTCTCCGTTGAAAATTGGTTGTTCTGGCCCACCGTTGCTTTCAGGCACATCATTTACCAATGCACTCTCACTCATTTTTTACAGTGTATATTTCTATATATTTCACAACAATATTCCGTTGGTCTCAACTAAAATTCATTACCAATCTTGTTGAATTTTGTAGCAACGATCGTATATAGTGTTGCCACAAATGTCGCGTGAAATATGCTTACGGATTAAACTGAACACGAATTATCACAATATTTAATACTTACTGTGATCGATATATTTTTAAGCAACCAAACCCATATAGGTTTATTTAACGTTAGTCTATTAGGTTAAGCCGTGAATATGTTGACAACAAATCCGTTGCAATTGATTGCAAACCGGACGCTGCACTAGATCATGATCGGCGTCGCGCCGCGACACGTATTTTCCGAATAAATGTTAATTGTTTACAACAGAAACGATGTACAGAGAAAAATACATAATCATTAAACTTCGTTGGCATAAACACTAAAGCCGACTTCTCATGGAGAGATGTTCCGAGTGACGCTAATTCAAAGCTGATGCTTTTACCCGCTGAATTAAATACCCTAGATCTCGGGTCAAGGGATGTGCGCACATTTGACAAATGAATGGTAGCGATTCAAGTTGGAGTAGCTTTACTCCCACGACGTGTGAGAGAAACACTGTCTTATTTAGCGCAGTGTTTGATAGTTATTTCATGTTGTTGCAATGAAACGTTTAATTTTATATGTTCCAAACGACACGTGAATACTAACGATGTAACATGGAAGTAAATGATAATTCAATAATACTTCAAAATAGCAGCAGGTAAATCATTCTACTCGGTTCATTTTGGTTAGCGTAATTTTAAGTGTCATCGCTCTTGGTTCAAGAAATGTGAGTTTAATATTATTAGATTGTTTTTTTCATATGCTATAAACACCTTGCGCGCACATTGACAGCAACATATGCAGCAAGTTGGCTTGCACAAACCTTGTACCGGTTTTGCCCTCAATTTGACATAGATCTTGTTGCAAGACTTTCTGCCAATTTGCTTTACTATTTTGATAGCTAATGTTGCCTACAAAACTGTAGTCAAATGCGGAAATAGATGACTATGATTTTTTAGACAACATGTAATTTTGTTGTATTCAAGAGCTGCCTGTACTAGAGCATTGATTAAGCAAGGATTTATTTTCAGTATAACAGTAGCTGATTCTGTATGGAAATTTATCAACAGTCCCATTATTGCGATCTTCTCCGATTTAAAAAATGCAACTGCAGAGCAAATGCTTCGATCCCTTTTAGAGTCAATATTGAAGGGCTCTGCTACGTTGACTACAGTTTTGGTTCCACCGTATACTAATGGAATGCAAAATGAAGCATTACAAAGTCAATATGCTGGTAAGAAACTAGAGTATCAGTTGTAAACATCGAACAATGTTAATATTGTATTACATTTGCAGCATTTACCACATGGTTGTTTGGTGCAATGTTTTACATAGTCGGAGAGCCTCTGAGCAATAAAATTCTACTAAACAGTATAGAAATTCAAGCTTGTATGCTCAGGATATTATCCAGACATCATGTCTCAACATTCGAAACTATCACCACAGAGTATATGAATATTCTACAAGAATTATGCGAATTTTATAAAGCTAATGGAGATGGAGATGAGATTGTATTAGCTAAGTTCAATATAGAGCGAGATATCATTGAGAATTTAGATCTACAAGCATTCCCTGTCACAATCAAGTATTCCGATATACCGCTAGTACAAAACTCGATACTAAAAATCATTGAAAAAACTGGAGTTTCAGTTTGGAATGAGAAAGTACTTCCGGAGACAGTGTTGAAAGTGCTGATCGTATCTGATCCAAATGTAAAGTTTATGGCGCTGAATCTATGTACGAAACTAATGGAATTTTCTTTAATAAATAAACATGAACTAGAGAATTTGATTCTTTATGTTATCGAGTTTGTTAAAGTAATTCCTACGTGGCTGAGTTCAAACGAATTACCCAGAGATCAGTTGGATCAATTTATACAAACACTTGCTGAATTTATTCAATCATTGCCAGTGTTTTCAAACAGCGTTGAATTATGCTTTCAAATCATCCGTTTTATAGTTCATGAACTGATTAAGCACAATGAAAATCTTGATGCTACTGAAAAACTGAAAGAAATCACGTGCAGTAAAATTAGACAGTATTTCATCAGGGAACCAAGAGTTTGCACTCTCGCGGAGGCAAACACGTTTATTTCGTATTTCGAGTACTGTCCGGATTTCATTATTATTTTTAATCACTGTGTTCTCGCTGATATTAAGCGCAATTGTAGCACCAATAATTTAATTAGCGGTGTTTGCGAATCATGGAATGTAGCGAGAAATGAACTGATCGCCGCAGCACACTCGAGAAAATTGGAGAAATGTGTACATATATTGAAAGGCTCGCGTATTTTGCAATCCTGGCTGAAAGAATTAAAATTGCCGATGAATTTATACGCAACTGACTTGAACGATATTTTGAAAATATTTATACAGAATTTAAATTCAGGAGAATGCCAACAGGGAGAAATTATTTTTGGGTGCTTCATTCATATGATGGCACACATCGAATCGACTAAAGATATGCTTCAGAAACTTTTGACATTACCATTCACTGGACAAATTGAATTGCCTGTGACAGTGATTAATGATCACGTGAAAAAGGCTGCAGAGTCTTTAGATAGTGCAGTGATGTTAAATTGTCTGGAAGTTCTTTGCGAATTTGGTAATGGAATGGAAGGATTGAAAATATTAAATACTTGCGTTAATAATGGTACAACCGAATTGGCAGTTGGAGCAGTGCAGTAAGTATGTTACACCTAAAGGTTTATATGCATTTTTCTAAATACAATGTTTGCAGGAATAGTGTGTTACTCGTGAAGAACAGAGAAATAAAATTCGAAGATATTTCGAGATACGTTCTTCAGCCTGCATTGCAGTCGAAAGACGAAAAAGTCCAGAAAATGCTTGTAACTGTTTTGGGTAAAATAAGTTGTTATCTCTCTGGACATGCAAACTTTATGAGGTAACGCTTTAATTGATCTATTTAGTTGTGTAAAAACTATTTTGAATAAACTGTTGTTACTTTCAGAGAATCGGACAACACGAAATGGAAAATACAATGCAAATGTTGTACAGACAGCATTGAAAATAATGTAGATCCTAACGCTTATCATGTGTCAGATGAATATGACAATCTCCTCAGTTCATATTTTAGTTTATTATCTTCGAACTTCGTTTCGGTGCGTTTATGCATTTCTGAAAATATTCTATGCTTTTCAAATCACATAAAGTCATTCAATGAAAATGAAATAGCAAAGGTGTGGTCTTCGTACATGGAAGATGAGAACTCCGTTATTCGTTCAAATATTGCTACGGCAATAAAAGGAATATTAAATAATAAAATAAATATAACGAAGGGGTCTGCAACATCCATAGAACACGACGTGCCAGCTGCATTACATGAATTTATTGATTTAATAATTAATACTATGGCAAGTGCACTGACGAAGGCTCTGAAAACATCGAATCATTCTCTTCATGAAACTTTACTGGTCACTGCAAGAAATTGTGCAAGGTAAGATAAATGTAATTAAATATATTTGTCTTACGTAAAGTAAATTATTAATTATTTATTTTCAGTATACCATTGTGTATTACCGAGAGACGAATTTTAAATATATTTCTCATCTCTATATTATATTCCACGTCATCTTCAGCAGCAGTAGCATTTGCTACAACCGCTTACAATGATTTTGCGAAATTATTGAACGTTTCGAACAAAGTATTATACGTCAGGTATAAAAAAGATTTTCTTAAGGTACGCATAGAAAAATATTAAAATTAAAATTAACCATGCTGCACTTTCAAGTAAATGTATTCTGTTAATTTTAGCTGATAATGCAATGCGCGGTCCACAATTTCCTGAATTATTCCTACAACATGGCAACGTCTATACACCGTGTTGCAAAATGTATTGGATACGAGGGCTCGCGTCAATTGTTGCGCAAAGACGGTCATTATGCAGTCTGCTTTTTACTTTCCTTCATTGTCGACGTGCCAAATGCAAAAGCTCTTCTACGTGATATAGCCGAGTTAATCAGTATGGACGAAAAGCATATGCTAAAGGAATATTTTCCTGTAGGTATATAAAAAAGAAAATTTCATTCTTTTATAATTCCTCGATGATTCTAATTTATTATTGATTTTGTTTGATCATTCTAATTTTATTTATTTAGTATATTTGCAGTTATGCTTTCTTAAACATGCCTCTTGCAGCTGCTGCGGAATGTTTAAGATTAGTGTCAAGACATACGCAGATGAATTTATCTATACTAACAAGACAATCATTTATGGTAATATATGAACAATACTTATAATTGATTCTTAAATGATATTAACAACATTCAATTTCGAACTATGAATATAATTCACAGGGTATATTCGAAGAACTTATGTTGAATTTCCATGAATCACCTGAGAAGGTGATTGGATTATTAAAAATTGTATCTGATTACGACAATAGTTCGGAGAAAAATTATATTACACAAAAAGGAATTGTAAGTACGCATCATTGTTGCTATTAAAAAGTTAAATATATTGTAAATTAGGATTAAACGATTGTATTCGTAATATTTTTAGGAATCTTACTTAAACTTACGTTTGCACGGTATACTGGTAAATTTTGACATAAAACTCGGCTCGAAATCAGACGAGCATACACAACAGTCGGCACTTGCATCGCTGGCTGCGTTAATGAGATACATGGGTGCAGAATATTTGACACCGTTAAGATATAAAATTCTAGCTACATTGAGAACTTCCCTTGGATTTAAGAGATCTGGATTCGGACCACTTATATGCGATGCGTGGAATGCATTCATTCACAAGTATGCAACAAAAAAAAATTGGAATCGTGCAATGTGCCCCACAGTGTGCAATTATTATTTTCCTTAATATTTCAGCATAGCTGTCAAGGAGCTTGGTCCATTACTGCCAACTATATGCGTATCGTTGGTGTCATTATTAAAAATGTATCCTGAGAAAATAATTGCGATGCTAAAGTTCCTCATTATTGAGTGTAATGAAGAAAATTCCAATCACATTGCAGAATTGTTCTTCATAGATCACATAAATGTTCCTGATGAAATTTCAAGTATAATCAAAGCACGTGTCTTACAAGCCAGGTATATAGAAAGCATTTCAGTGTGCATACGTTAACAGTAAACCTACCACTACCAGTCAAATGACCAGTTTTGCTGTTCTAATTCCTATCTTTTTGAATGAGTCGGTGGGTTTAGTGTTAAATGTTATCTAGTCTGCTGTTACAAATTTCAGACCCAAAGGTTTCGAGGCAAATTTGAAATTATGGCTGAAACGAATCACACATGAAACAGACGAGGTCAGGACTAGAGCTTTGATGTACCTGCAGACATTCCTGGTGGAGCATCGTAGTCAGTTGAATGAAATGATTCTGAGCGAAACAGATATTCACCCACTGATAGTTGAGGTAGGCATGACTTATAAATTTATAAATGCAACAACAGTCATGAATTATAACGAATAATAATCTTTTAGTTATTAGATACATTGTTAACTGGATGCCAACATAAAGATGAGAACGTCCGTTTATTATATGGAGAATGTTTAGGGGAATTGGGCGCTATTGAACCAAGTCTTTTACCACGCAGAATTTTATCCAGAGGTACATTATTCGCTAAATTATTGTTTTTTTAGTTTCCTTACTAAAAAACTCTTATCAATTCTAGATGACAGTAAATTTATTCCTGATACGAATGAAGAATTTGCTTGCGCCATGCTCTTTGAACACGTACGCGCTTTTCAAATGCAAAAGAGTAGTCAAAGTATGGATTGTTTTTCGCTTGCCATTCAAGTACGTATTTTAATTGTCCCTAAATCTTATAGTAGTACATTTATTCTTAAGAATACGTTGTTTTTTAGGAAACTTTGAAAGCATACGAGATTACACCTCAAGGTAGAAATTACAAACTATGGAACAGTTTGCCTTTGACTACGAGGCAGATCATTTCTCCTTTCTTAACGTCACATTACAAGATAGCAGCAGTGAGTGACGACAAAATGTTTCCTCATCCTATTTATGGGTAAATAAAAATTTATACATATTCTCTTGCTGAAGTGTAACCTCCTAAAATATACTATTTTCTTTTTACTTCTGCAGATCGGAAGCCGGTTCTTCAGTTGAAAATTGGGCTTATAATTGGCTCTGCAGTATGTTTAACAATATCCACGATGAAAGGCTTAATAGTGTGTTACGCGCATGTAAATTAGCCTTGAAGCGAGACATAAAAATATTGACATTTTGTCTGCCTCATGTTGTGGGTAATTACGATAAAATAACATTACTAACCGGATACAGTTATATACAAGGTGTCTCAGCTAATTTGATCACCTCGAATAATAATACACAGTACACTTTATGAAAATTTTGAGGCGTGTTAATTTTCCCAAGTGTATCGTTAAGTCATTATTCGAGGTGATCCAGTTATTTCTACTCTATTTTCTTTTCACCAGCGTATATAATAACAAATGGCTCGGAACAAGAACATGTAAAAATAAGGGAGGAAATGCTGACAATAATTGACGTCAGGAAGAAACCTACGCTCGATTCTGAATTGTCCCGTCATCGGCCACTCAGGCATGGACATAGTGTGAAAGTGGACGACACAAGAATATCCGAGGAAACCAGACGCACGCGTTGTGCACAGGTACATTAATTTAAGAAAAGAAAAAAACAACATTGTTGCAGTTCCATGAATTATAATTTGTTTCTTAATTTTCGGACAGATCGTATTTTCAGTATTAGATCATTTACAAAGGTGGCTATGGGAGCAACGGCTGAATCGTAATCATAAATACAAAGCAGTGGAAAGTAAGTCATCTAATATAAATTGCTAAATGTAAGTACACGATATTTATTATCTGTTAACGCACTTATTGATTTCATATTTCAGATTTCTGTGAAAAATTAAACACACTAATAGTGGCTGAAGGCTGCTATCAGTCCAGAGAATATCATAGAGCTTTGATGTATTTGGAGCAGCACATGGCATTCTCCAATAAAGGATTATCAGAAGCATTGGAGGGTGGACTACTGGCTGTAAGTGAACCTTGAATTAATATATAATAAATTCGAGGTTATCTTATATTATTCGTTTCGTTAGAAAATATATGCCCAATTGGATGAACCGGATGGTATCTCTGGTATATTAGCCTCTCAGGATCATACGCCTACGGTCCAACAATTAGTGCTGGCTCATGAAATTAACGGACAGCTTCAGGTAACGTTGAAGGTAAATTTTACAGTATCCATATATTGAAAACTAACGAAATTTCTAGGATGCTGCTACATGTTATGAAAGATTGGCGCAGAAGAAAACATTGAAACATACGTATCTACAAGGCATGATACAATGTTACCTTGGTCTGGATCAGCCGTTTACAGCAAAACATATTACTGAAGGAGTTTTGAGCAGCAGGTAACTATACACAAATATAGAATAATTAATCCCTTCGATAATAAATTTCTTTTGAATTTTAGACCAGAGTTGGAGCCACTAATGATCGAACACGAGCCTTTCTGGAGACTGGCTCATTTTACAAGGCTGGATGATACGTCGCAGAAAAATATAAAGCATTCCTTACTCGAAGATCTGAAAAAAGGCGTGAGACCAGATTTATTGTCGTTAAAAAAGAATCTAGTGTCATTGTTAGAAGATGTTTCACGCCCAGGGGCTTATCAACAATGTTACTCCTACATTATGAAGTAAGACCAATACGTGCTACTACGTAAAATCGTGCTTTAACCTAAACGACGATATTTATTGAAGTATTCTGTGATGAACAATAGGCTGCATATATTGAATGAGTTCGATAAAGCAGTGTCTACAATGCTGACAGATATACACCAACTTCCAATGATACTTGAAGAATGGGAAAAACGTGGTCAGCTTGTTAGAGCATCGCGAGGAGTGGAATTTGTATTAAGCATGCGGAGGGCTACTTTGGATTTGGCAGTTCATTTAGAGAAAGAGATCAACAACAGAGAAAATCCTGTCCTTAAGCAAGAAATTGGAAAGATTTGGCTTAAAAGCGCTAAGATTGCGAGGAAGTACGAATTTTCATTCGTGAGCAAAAATCAGTTCTTTTTTTTTTCTTCTTTTTATTTTATTGCATATTCATGGTACTTTGTTTCGGTAGGAGAGGATTGCATCAACAAGCTTACATGTATATTTTGTCGGCGAGCGATTCCTGTCCGTTACAACAGCTTTACATAGAACAGGCTCAGCTGTATTGGCAGAAGGGTTGCCAGGAAGATGCTTTCACGACATTAAAGCGAAGCTTTTCCAGCTGTTTCCAACCGGCTACGTATTACAGAAGCTTGTCCTCGTCGGAATGTGTTGAGGAAAGGAAACAGTGCGCAAAGGTTCGTATACAGGGTGAGTCACCTGAGATATTTTTGGTGAAAGTGTTAGGTAACTTACCCTGTGTATACCGACCTAATATATAACAATGGAAATAACATTAGGTTTTACATGTCGGTAGGCAAAACTTCTGTATGCAAAATATAACGATGAAACAGTGAACGTGGATACTGACGCTAATATCATAAATTATAAAGAAGCTATTGAAGTTTGGAGAGAATGGGAGAAAAGTTTACTTTTCTGCGCTCAATATTACGAGTCTGTTATAGATAGGATGACCGATGAAGAAAAGGACAGAAGAGGACGGTAATTATCATCTTGAATATTATTTTAACGAAAGTGCTGCTATTAATGTATGTAATATTTTTAGGGATTTACAAGTACATGCTATGAATTTCTACGGGAAATCACTTCAATACGGTTGCAAATATATTCACCAGTCTATGCCGAAAATGTTGACTATATGGTTGGATTTTGCTTCTCGCGTGACATCTCGATCTATCAGTTACGGAAGTTCAGAACTTGAGAAGTTTCGACGGGATGCATTACAAAAAATGACGAAAATTATGGGTAAGGTGTAAAGAATAAATTGTTACCGTTGGAAAATGTTAATGCGATCTATTTCTATGTATTCAGAAGTGTATCAAGAAAGACTACCAATTTTCATGTGGCTGACTGCATTCAGTCAACTTGTATCCAGAATTTGCCATCCATCGATAGAAGTGCAAAATACACTTTGCACGATCTTGGTGAAACTAATTCATGCTTATCCTCAACACTCCTTGTGGATGATGGCGTCTGTTATTAATGTGAGTTTTTGAACTGTTAACAAAATTCGAATGAATTCTGATTTTCAATGTATTTTTCAGTCTTCTTATCCCGTACGTCAGAGACGTTGCCAAGAAATTCTAAACAATCCGAGATTAAAGACGGGAGAAATGCTGAAACTTATTAAAGATTTCCATAAACTGTGGGAGAGACTGATTGAATTGTCCAACAAACCAATACCGGATGTAAGTAAACATGCGTGTTACATTAAAACAAATAAGGTATTATTTTGTCTGTAATTTTGTAACAGGGTGTTATGAACACTACTGTTAGCCAATTATCGCGAAATCTTCCTCGTTTACTTTCAACCAAAGACTTCAGTCCGATTATGATGCCAACAACGAAATTTAAGCAACTTCATCTACCTTCTAAGGGTGTATCATTGGACAATTATAATCCATTCTCATCGTAAGTGTAAAACATGATGCAAAAGTATACAAAGAATTTTTTTCTGCAGTGTATATCTACTTCGTGTATACTATTTATTATAAATAAAAACAACGTTTCTTTTATATCCAGAAATTGGGTTCACATATCTGGGATTGAAGAAAGCGTAGCCGTCATGCCATCCCTCCAAAGGCCGCGACGCATTGCGTTAAAGGGATCGGACGGCAAGCAATATCTTTTTATGTGTAAACCGAAAGACGATTTACGAAGAGACTTCAGATTGATGGAGTTCAATGATATTGTAAATAAATATCTACAGAACGACCCAGAATCTCGCCAAAGAAGACTATACATCCGAACATATGTAAGCTTTTAGAAGCATTACAACATTAATCAGGCCTGGATTAAGATTTCTTGTGGTCCAGGGCTATTGACCTTCGTGGACCCCCAATATACAATAAAATACATGTCTTCGAAAATTGAAATTTATTCTAAGTAAAATTAAATATTTGATCCTAACGAACAATGCTTCATTATATTTAAACAACTTTGGTCCGATTTTTTCCTACATTTAGTACAGTTTCTCATTATTTCAAAAGGGAAACGGTAAACAAAATTTCATTCTATTATTTTTTTACATAAACGGAAGGCTTAGATAGCTCCCTTGAAAGTGGGGCCCAGGGCTATAGCCCCCCCTTAATCCAGCGCTGAAATTAGTACCTTCCAGCAACATGTTATTCGAAAATTTGTACAAAGAAAGAGGTATCGCAGTTTCGAACAGAGAACTCAGAAGCATGTTGTGCGGTGAGTAATAGTAACATTGTGTTACACTTTAATGGAGCGTATAATTCTTACTTGTTCATTGTATTGCAGCGTTGAAAGATTCACTGGAAAAGAAGCGGAAGGTATTTTTAGAGCAACTTCTGCCACGACATCCATCTGTTCTTGGAGATTGGTTCCGCCTTACATTCCCTGACCCCTATGGATGGTAAATTTCCTACTCCTGTATGCAAAATACATTGGTCATTTGAAAAGTTCTCGGATATAGCGTGGAAAGACATATATATATAACACTTTTTAGAGCACGGTTTCAAATTTTATATTGATTTTTCGAATGATCCACGTAATAATACTAATAATTGGAGTGCAATATAGAAGATAAAAAAACTTTTTTAATACAGGTACGAAGCACGTACCGCATACATTAGAACAACAGCAGTAATGTCCATGGTGGGATATATCCTTGGCCTTGGCGATCGGCATGGAGAGAATATACTGTATGATTCTAAATGTGGCGACTGTGTGCACGTGGATTTCAACTGTTTATTTAACAGAGTATGGATACTAGTACGATACACTTTATAAATAATAAATGGTTATTTATAGAACTGACTCTTAATTATCAGGGCGAACTGTTTGACTGGCCAGAACGAGTACCATTTCGTCTAACGCATAATATGGTAGACGCTATGGGGCCATTGAAAATCGAGGGACCGTTTAGACGCGCGTGTGAAACTACAATGAGAGTTCTTCGACAGCAATGCAGCACGTTACTAAGTGTGCTCACTCCGTTTGTCTACGATCCACTTGTCAGCTGGAATAAAAATCAAACCGGCGAAAGTGGTGAGAAAACAAACGAAAAGGTAAAATACAGATGAATTCAGAAAAAAAATCTTCGTCTATAATGGTACAGCGTGAAAGACAATGTTGAATATTTTAGGCTGTAGAACACATAAAAAATATAGAACAGCGACTGAAAGGTCTGATCCGATCGCACGGAAAGAAATTGGAAAACATTGCTTTGAATCTCAGCGTTGAGGGGCAAACGAATCATCTAATCCTGGAAGCAACAAACATAGATAATCTTTGCCAAATGTATTTCGGTTGGGGTGCGTATATGTAATGATTAATTAAGATAATACCTGACCTTTCAATACTTGTATATAATACAACGTTTGATCAAGCATTTAGAATAATAAAAATATCGATTCTCGAGTCTTAAGCTTCTAAATTGAAGCTTCGAAGCATCATGAAATATGAAAGTGCAGTACTTAGGGTCTGCAAAATGTATATAAATAATGTAATTGTTATATATTGTGTGGAGCATTATGATATTAAAAGATTTTATATATTTTTATATATACACATTTTAATGGAATGTTTACCGAACTGAAGCTCTCTAGACACATCACGTATATTTTTCCGGCTGTAATATAACTGGGTTTCTGTGAACGTAGCATGATCATCGACGTTTCATACTTTATGAAAAGTGGCAATTTGTACCACTGTATAGAATATACAGCTCGACTTATGCTAGAGCTCTGTTATAATAAGAAACAATTTCAGATTAAATATGCACTATAGTGTATGTAATAATACATTGTATTACATATTTCATTGTAATTCTTTACTTGAGAGATTAACATATCTCCAGGAAAACAGAAAAGCAGCAACTGGAAAAGTGCCATCATTAAATGGGAGGCGTACTTCATTAAATTGGATTGGTCCATTAGAGTCTATTATTAAGGAAATATACAATAAAAGTTATATCAAAATATATTTTCTTCCGAAAAGAAGTTTTCCAAGCTCAAAATTACACTTACCATAGAAACTTGAAGACCAATGAAACAGATTATAATACTACTGGCCATAGTTTGCACAAAAAGCAACGAATGAAAGTTCTTTTGCATATTACTACAGAACCTGAATTTCATTAAACTCAATGAGAAAATAATGAAACGCGCTTGTGTATACAATGTTCACTTACCAAAGAATTACTTGATGATGTTTTATTACACACATTATTTGTACCTTTATTCTGCTCAAATTTGCACTTATACTTTCTGAATTATTTTTTAAACTACATATAACATAGTAAATGTCTGAGTCTAGTTGCCTTAAATTTCTTTTGAGTATTTTAAAATGACCACACGTGTGGAGCAAAGCACTTGCGATTAAGGTGTCAGTTGCAACAATCATAAGGCCGCAAATACATGTTCCCAACATTTGAGATATATAAACTATCTATTTGTATACATATTCAAAGTAATTTATATGGTGAAATATTTACAATAAAAGTAAAAAAAAGGATGAAATACTACCTCGTAGAATGGAAACTTGTAGAAAGTCAACGGATACGATGCAACAAATGGGAAATTCTTTGGAACAGTTGAGTTATCGTTTGTATCACGAATTATGCTCATAAATGAATCAATGACGGGTAAACTATAGAAAAATAGTAGTGCATTCACTATTAAAAACAGATATCCTTTTGTAACATTTTTAGCATATCTGAAATTACATATCACATGTGATATATCGAAATAATGTATATTGCATTCTGGAATACCAAGAATCATTTACATTGCATATTTTTGTAAATCTGTGAAAACATCAGGTTCGACTAACTTCCAATAATCTGTTAACATAATGTCAATAAATGATTCCAATTCCTTTCTATTGAAAATCCAAATTAACGACTTTGTTAGAGCGAGTGATATTGTGAGTAAAACAGAACTGAAAAACGAAAAAATTCTGAGTTAGTTATTTTTCCATCACAGTAAGCTTTAATTACCTTATTGTTAAATTTATTCACACCTTGTTTCTAAAATGATGTTCAGATTTTCCCAATTTTTATAAATATGTGCCACTAATGGTATGACAATGAGCAGCATGCAATTAATGCATATAATGTATCTCGTGATATTTATTGGATAAAGCCCGACAAATTTTAAAACCAACTGATTTATAAAAGTATAATTTTCAATATTCATTGTTTTAATTTTAAAAACTAGTTTATTTAAGTAATATACTTTGAACACTTCAGACTTCCACCTATCGCGGTGAACATACCTTAAGCAAATAAAGTTGAACAATTTGTGAAATCAATAGTCTGAAGCCTAAATGACTGTTAATATTGGACTGCTACAGCGTACCAAGTCAATTTGAGTTTCATTAATATTATAAACTAATTTCAAAGGCCAGTGTGAATTTAATATACTTGACTATCGGTAGGAATTGAAAATATTGTGCTTTGATCTTTTAGTAAAACTGTAGGAAAAATGAACTGTTTGAACCGTTCGTTTCATCGGTGCAACAGCTTATTAAATGTGTTTAATATAATTGAAGGTTTCTTTTGAAAGTGTATACCTTTTAGTCATATATTATTTACATAGAGTGTTTCTGCTGTGACACATACTACATATGTATGATGACAAGGAAGAAATGCTTTGACAGCAAAACTATACTTTGCTATAATATTCTTTGAGGGTCTGCTGTGTAAAAGTACAAAATTTTACTCCAAGAGGAAACATTTGTGACAAAGGAATACCAGTACTCGCGTATATTAATGTTAACGACGTGTATCTTTCACTGTGAGTTTTTATAAAAAATTTCAATACAACACTTTGTATACACCATTTCTTATAAAATTTTATTGCGTTTACGTGGTGCATCGGTAATAAATAAAACTTCCACTTTTGACTGCATATTTTACAAGTCATTGTTCAATATCACTTATAAGTAAAATATACTTATCTTAGGTCAAGATTCAGGACACACTGCCTATAGACGAATCTTAAAACAGGCGAAATTTCTCTGTGTACGTATCGTTTTCATCTGTTTAAACGTGATCATTTCATACCTATTTGCTTAAAAAAGGAAATCATCAAGGAAATGTTTGTACAAATATCGATGACATTATATGACGAAGATAATGAAAATAACTTATTAATTTAGGGGCATTTTCGTTCTACTTGGCTCTTTCCACTCTCTTCGTATTCCTGGCTGGAAATCCACATTTGTTGGAAAGTGCCGATCGACGCTAAAATAGATCCACCGATCCAAGCTCCGAATCGTCGTTCAGCGCATCCGTTTACGCTGATCAATTTCAGTCGCATGCTAGATGGTATTCTCATGGACAAATCTCTGTTTAAACGTTCTGGGAAGCCCTGTATAATTTAATATATATATATTGACAAAAATTCGAATTAACAATTTTCAGATTTACAGTCACTTATAATAGTTTGATCATACCTGAATGAATGAATTTCCACCAGTAACAACTACACTTCCATAAAGAGCAGGCCTGACATCGACATCACACATGCCTACGCTAGTCGTTACAATGTGGCCGACTCCCAGCATAGTATTGCCAACCATACCACCACGCATTTGTACCATGCTTGGATCGAACAGTGCTTCTGGTATACGAAATCTTTCACTTCCGAAATCCTTGAAATATTATTATTTGTTAGATACTCCTATACACTGAAATAATTACAATGCTTGGTCATGTGTTGCTTTTATGTACCTGGTGGTATCCAGTTGGAAATTCATATTGAACTGCAGGAATTGTTGAAACTATTTTCTCATCGAACGGAGATTCCGATATTTGCAACACTGTCGCTTGGAAATCCTGAATAAGTTTCTTCACCATGTAATTGTGCCAGGATTTAGTGACTTCGGGTAGACCTTTCTTTTTCACCCATCGTGGCTTGTCGTGATCTTTAACGACTTCTTTACAACCCACCATATAAGAAGGAGACAAATCAATGTCATTGTCCTGTTATTATTTAATGAATACAATTACTCTGTCTCTCGATACGATAAAACAATATTACCAAGCGTATTTATACCTGAAGATATTGTCTACATTGCATGCTTATGTAATCTCCTCCGAGTGGAGATTTAACTATGGCCTGTGTCAGCACAAAACCATCTTGAACAGGTACAGCGGAAGTATGAGTTGCCCCGCTATCAACAACAATACTGGTTGATCTACCATTCGCGAAAGCTGCGAGAACTGCGTTTTTCACCAAGAAATAAGCTGGTACGTTATATTTCTCAAACATTAATTCTGTTAATCTTTCCCTTTTACTGCGAACATTCCACGGTGACTCAGAAAACAATACTGGGTGATACTCGGCGTCCGATTGGATTACTTTCGAGTATGTATAATCTAAAACCTATTCAGAGATGTAGACTGTTACTTTAGACAAATGAACCAAAAGATCCTAATTAAAAACGTAATTCTATGTTACCTTTTCAAAATGATCCCAATCTTCTATCATGCCATCTTTCATGTAACTTACAACTTCTGTGTTCTTTCGTGGAACATGGAGTATAGTAGTGTCAATATAATATTTGGCCCCAGACTGTGTAATATTATTATCTGGCTTTTTATCATCAATATCCATAGGTTCTGTTTTTGTTGCTACACAATTTCCATCTTCGCCTACACCTACTACTGCTGGAATTTCAGCTTTTGGAGTGTCTTCCTGAGCATAACCGACTCTTAAAGAATGATGACCCAAGTCAAATACCAAAGCTCCAATTTCATCTCCTCCATAAAGCATGCCCCCTGACATTTTGTTGATTTGAAAAATATCTGTGACAGTAATAAAATTGGTTGTACAACGTCCTGCCTATAATAATGACTGTAATGTCCTGAATTTCACTGATATCAGCGACAGGATTATTTCGGAACCAAACTTCTATTACGAAAACAATATAAATACGAAATTTAGTATACACAAGCCGGATCGGTAATAGCTCATATCGCATTAAAACGTAACAAGTAGGTCCCCCATTTTTATTTCACGACTTACCGTAACTTCTTTACAAAAATAACTCAATGAAACGGCAAAAATATATGTACTTGACGGCTACATGAACGTTTATTTATGTATTTTTTTTAATGCAACAGAAACATAACCTCAACTCAGAAGGACGCTTAATACCGCCACCATGAACATAGCTATTTCTAGATCAGAGTGGATCAGAGGGATCAGAGGGTTACTCGATTCAATCATGCAATCTCTGCCTCCGACAATAAACTTCCATTACTATCATTTCTTATCAATATAAGAAGCGTCATATGTTGAAGACATTAATTTATTACAAGTTCCTTCAGTAATCCACTTATATCCCATCGTTCCGTTTACCTAACGTCAAATATTTTATGTTCTATGTAGATAATGATATGTTCACGCAATGTAAGAAATATTTCCTTTCAGTTCGACGAATGAAAGCGAACGATGATTTTGAAGACAATATTTAATTTGTCCGTTGAATTTACCAATGAATAAATATTTTTTAAATAAAACAACACGATATTTTTCAACAACTCTTGATTGTAGAAATATAAAAATTAATTTCGAACAAGCTTATCACCTACGCAACTAAGATCTTTTCGATCAAAAAGGTGATTACTATTTACGTTACGTGATTTACCATTAATCAACGACAAACATCTGTATTATATTTTAATAAAATCACTGTCTAAATTCTTTGCTCCCGCAATCAACGAAATTTCAAACCACCTGTTAATTCGCCGATTTCACGTCGATAGCGCCACGGTCGCGAGGGCCCACAAAATGGCGTCTCGAGTCAGATCGTCGGACGACTCGAGACAATGCGGAGGTGTATAGCCGTCGTTTAGCCATGTTCTATCGTCGTGCTCGCGACAGTGCAGTGCGAGAATGAGGTTCACGGATGCGAGTTACGAACAATTGTTTAACGGGCGACGGTGAGCCAAAGGGAGAATTGGGATGTGTTCGCTCGACAGAACATTGTATGCTGGTGCAGCGATCGCGTGAAGAAATAACGCTGGGTTTTCGTACGCGTCGGAGTCTGTGACACCCGCTGGCCCAATGGAGCCGCGTACTCTCGCTGTCCCGTTGGCTTTGTTGACATTCGTCGTATCGGGTAAGTTCTTTTTTAATCTAGTACTAGAAACCCGTTATTCACCATTACTTTCATGATACACAGGACGTTTTACAGCGCATACTCGAGTCAAAACAGGATCGTACTATTATAAAAATAATTTAAATCTCAGGTGATTGTATATCGTGCAAACGGTAGCCTATAGTGTCTCTGCGCAGAACAGCGTTTGTCATACATCGTGAAAACGGCTGCTCGATTATACAGAAGAACGTGATAAAGCCCCATCGGCACTCTATACGGCGTTTTATCGATGAACGTGGAAAACTGGAATAATATCGTATATATATTCCCGTCACGGTTAACACTGTTTGCATCTCGTCCCATCGTAGTAGAAAGCAAATATTTACGAGACCGTTCCGCGATTTTCTTGTTTGCTAATCTCTCAACGGAGATTACGACGTGGAAAACGTTCCTCTGTCCAGGACAATTCGAATCGTACCACCGTGGAAATACCGATTGATTTCTCGACGAATTGGGCAGAGTTGTCAAGATTCGTTCGGAATTCCGGTAACGATTAACACTTGGCGGACGCACGTAGGGAGAAGAACGAGCGCATCTCGACGTGTAACCACGGGAATACCCTTTCTGTGTATTTACTTTTGTAACGTGCCATTATTATGCAAGTTGTTGTTTCATTAGATCGTTCGCCGCCATCGGTACGGCTTTGAATTAAATAACAAGCCGTTTAACGTTCGGTACTCTGTGCACCGAATGAAAACAACATACGGGAACAAAGACTGCTGGACGGAATTGAATGACTGGGTTCGTTTAATCGGAATACGTGGATAGAAATTTATAGAAGAAGGAGGATCTTGGCGGTATTAAACGGAATTATAAGTGTAGAAATCACGTATCCACGATCCGATTGTCATGTAAATTTTCGGGACTTAACACTAGAACTACCGATGATAAACGCATATTTGCTTCGATCGGTGGATAAACGTGAAAAACTTCTGAAAATTTAGAGATTGACTAATTTCTTCACTTTTATATCGTAATAAAAGGTGCAAAAGATCTGAGAAAATGTATTGTCATAATAACATTTTAATCGTCGTTGTAAGAGTCTATTGACAATTCATTTTTACTTGCTTGGTAGTTCTAGTGTTAAGTGTGTCCGAGGAAAGTTGAGAGACACTGCACTTCTGGTGGGTATTATTGATGCAGTGAAGGTTATCTCGTATAAGGGGGTGGATTCAGGGTGTACTTCCGATTGCAACGATCTGGACGGTATCCCTTGGTAATACTGTCGCAATAACGAGGGCAGTATAGTTCCCCTGATAAAAGTAACGACGAATTGGGAGAGATAGAAGGCAGGGACCATTGTTCTAGCCCCTAGCCCAGTGTACACAAGCATTAATAAGTCTTTGTGCCTTCCATGGTACAGACTCATTAAGGGTATATATTCACTTTGACAAACGAATACTTCTTTTTTTGTTACAGATAAATAATGTCTAATTTAGTAAGAATTTTCTAAAGAAGAGAATATCCTTAATAACTAGACTGCGGATTTTCATGCAATATCGACGTTTTTAAAGTAATTTTTAAAGACAGGAGCAATCATAGAAATTTATTTTCCCTTTTAAGTATCTTATTGGGTTCAGAGTAAAATAGAATATTTGTTGGATATGATTTAATATAATATTTAATGCTCCCATGCTGAGTATAAAGAATATAAAAATTTAAAAAAACAAAATAACATAACAGAAAAGTATAATAAATATATATTCAATTAATTAAACTTATTAATAAAAACACCTCACTAATTAAATTTGTTTTTTATTGTATCTCACAGAGCCCTTTAGGCTATAAATGGATAAAATCCGCAGTCTATTAATAACAAATGAATAAAGGTGCTTCTCGAGAACGTTTTGCGAAAACGATTGAATCGCGTATAAGTTGAAAAGTATATAAACTACATTATTAACATTTTTTTATGTTAAACATATGAATTGGTTTCTTTTAAATGTTGGCGTATGGAATTATGAAAATCTTGAACATTCTTTTACGAGTTGATCATTTCTGTATCTCGAAATGAGAGTATCCCACTGAAGAAGTCGCACCGCTGGAAGTATTTGCGTTAAACACTCGAGCATAGTATTCCAACAATGCGGCAAGCCTCTCCTTGCGATTTTATCACGATAGAAAATGCATCTACTAAACGTCCAGAGTCATTACTTTAAGGGGTTGCATACATCTCGAGAGTTCAATAAGTATATGAATATTTAAGATCTTTTCCTCATGGAATGAGGTTTTTTCTTTTTAAAGTTGACAAGGACATTTTGTAAAAAAATATTCTGTATTATTTAGAATAATGACAGTTTCAAAAAATAGATTGTAGTAATTTCATAAATTATCTTGTTTTTTTGTTATAGTTTCGTTGGTAAAACGATGTTTGTAGAAATGAATGGTAGTTCATTGCGGCTCGTTCTGCAAGCATCGTTCCCATATTATCCTTTTTATTTACTTTTTCATTATTACATATACGCACCGTCTAGTTGGATATAAAGATCCATTTCCGGCTCATCATGGTGGTGAAGCGTTCAAACAATGAAAGGGGTCTTGAAAGGGTGCCTTCCTCAAATAAACCAGTTAGCTTTGTCTCTGGGATATGGTACTAACGGCGCCCAGCTCACTGCAGAACAATTATGGGCCCAAATAAACAGAACATGATGGGTTCAACACCGGTGTCAGCTCCTGATTTCACTGCATCGATCGTTCCTTGAACAATTTCGAATTAAGATAAACTTAGTTTGGGGAATTGTGGAGATTGACCGCGTACGGTTCGACAAATTAACCCTCATCCGTCCATCGGTGTCAAATTGAAGTGATAATAGTTAAATGTGCAAATTCTTTAAAGTAAAAATCACGAAACTTCAGCTAAACTTACCTACACATGACAGAGTAACGTCATTTCTTTAGAGAAAATTGTGCCAATTTGACACAAGGGACGGATCAGGGTTAAGACAAGAACTACAGGAGAATTTATAGGTCCTTTTTCACCTCGGACACCTTTTAAAAATTAGTTCAAACTCTGACGTTTAATAAGCTCAATGTCCCTATTTCTAATCATGCAAGAGTTCTGCTATCGCAGGAATTGATTTTTCTTTCAAACTTGGTAAGCATATATTTAATGTTCATATTTATTAAAAACCTGCAGAATTAATAAGTAATGTTTTTTAATAATTTTTTTAGAAACAAAAAAAAATTTGTTTTCCCAGAGTTATCATTGTCAATCACAAGTTCTCTTAAAAAAATTATTATTAACACTAGAATAAATATGAACATTAAATGCTTACCAAGTTTGCTTATGAAATTCCGATTTTTACACCCAAATTAAGCTTCTGAACTCCTAAATAGGCGTTCTGTACCACTGTGCGCTCGTGCCGTGAATTCGACACATATTGAAGATCTGCTCCGTGGCGCTGGTAGCCCAAATAAGTACGGAACGCGATCGTGCAACACACAACCGCGTTCGAATGTGGTTCCGTGTAAATTGGTATTTACAAACGCGTGTACTGTGCGACCGATGTCGTAACAACACCTTAATGGTCAGCGCCCACGCGGCGTATACTCGTGCATATTGATGTATAGGGTGATTTACCTAAGACACTCTCTGCATATCAACGAACGGGGTCTTCGATTAATTTTCTTTCGACATGTGATATATCCCCTCTTAACGTGTGTTCCGATATAGCCCGAATTGGCCAGGGCTGAGAATAATCCTGAAATGCATACCAACCTTAAAACATCGAAAGTACAAGAACATTTAACGATGTCGACTTTAGACTAGATTATGTAAAATTACAGATTTACTATTCTATCATTACTGAAATTAAAACTGTGTTTTTTCGACGAAGTTTATGATGGCTTTTCATTTATTACAGATTTTATTTTATGATATATTATGGTAGATTGTCTTCTTTACAGGGTGTCCCAGTATTGATGGTACAGCCGCGGAGGGGGTGATTCTACATGAGAAAGTAAATCGAAAATATGGAATAACAGATTTTATTAACTGAATAGAACTTGGCTAGCGCGTCTGTTCATTGCATTTCCTTTCTACTTACTACCATGGTAAATTTTCGGATTAATATTCAAAGTCGATTATTTCGAAAACAAAGCCTCAAACGGAAAAAATGTACTCCATACTGTCCACTTATTGTCTCATCTAGAATCACCCTCTCGCTGTTTCTACCATCAATACTAGGACACCCTGTATATTATTGTATTATACAATTTAATTTAGTATACATTCAAGGCTGGTAGTTCCAATGTAAAAACGTTTAATTTTTTTTAAAAGTAATAGTAAAAGAAAACAATGTCCTACTGATTCGTATCTACCATCTTTTTCAAGACGATAGGGGTAAGTTCCACTTGCACCGTGTCGCCAGTTTTGTAAATCCGGTCACATTCCTTCTTCTTCTCCTTACAAAGGAATCACGTTCACTCGTAGTTGCATCACGTTGGCAATTCCATTACCAGCCACACATACCCCGGTGTCCATATGCGTTATCCTTTCAGGGCAGCGCTCCAGGTTTTCCCCGATTCTCGTCTTTCGTGGACGTTTCGCGGAACAGCGTGCTTGGAACGGAAGTACGGTAACAGTCACGGTGCACGAGAAAAGATAAGAGAAAGATGGATGAAACCCGGCTCGTGGAATTCATTTTATCGATCGCAAAAGTCAAGCCTAGATTTCCGTCTGTCTGCTAACCGTCGGGGTGTTGGGTGTGCGACCCCTACGACCCCCAACTGTCGCGAACGATTAATTGATTCCCCTGTAGGAGGGATCGTAATATCCTTCATCCCCGTCGCTGGTTTATCAGTATTTATGAGACACCCCGTAGATCGGTTGTGCCACGGTATACACGCATACACACACGGTATACCTTGCCTTCCTTCACGGTCTGTTCGTCACATGTCGAGTGTACTTTTACCGCGTTTTTCAACATTCTCCCTCCTTCCCTTTTGCCGAGTTCCACGGGCATGCAAACTCGCCCCACGAATTAATCCAACGGCGTGCGAGAAAATGCAAAAAAAAAAAAGAGATTCGGAGGATTTATCCACGGCAAGAAAAATATCTGGACCCCCAAAGCCAAGGTGTGTTAAGTCCACTTTTGAAAAAAATGACATTTTACTTTGTACTATTATATAAGTCCTACCCTTATAGAAACCGAAAAATACCGGTATTTATTTCCGTTTTCGGTAATATATCGGTTTTGGTATAGCTTTGATGGCATAATACCGGTTTAAGTACTTGGTTCCAAGTCGTCTAGTTTTTAATATAGGTACGTAATAGTCTAAAAATGATATTAGGTTCATATTTTTAAAACAGTGAGAAGTTCATCGCATAGGGGAATTAATGGAAAGTTTATAGAGACTTGCCTTAAATCCAGTGAATATTTCGAAGGTAGCAATTGTTTCTCGCTCAATTCTTACCGCAGGGTCCCAAAGTTACAAGGTTTTCACACTTTTGATTTTCTCTCCTGTGAATTTTGAAAAGTGTGACTTAATACACTTTGTTAAAATATGTTTCTGTACAAAATATTAAATTGTTAAGTTGTTTTTCATAATGGAAACCTTGAAACGTTGCACTTATAGTTGCAGCTTTACTTTGTCTTGCTGTTGGTTTCATGCGAAACGGTTAAAGATGACTTGTACATTGTTTTACTATACAAGTTTAATTTGTTTGAACAAGTCTACTCGTCGAGGGTAGCAATGGTTCTTCCCATTCTCTTATAATGACCAGAGAAATTGTGGTGGTGTGCTGTGCATCTGTTTATTCAGATGGTTATAAATCGTGCTAGGTAGTGATGATGGCACCATGACTTCCTCGAGGTATAATATTTCTTAAAGTAACGACGATACGTTCCAGTGGGTTCTAAAATAGAGAAAACATACGAACATTGACCAATCTGTTGGTTACAGAGGATTTTTATTACATTTTTCTGGCGGAATCAAGGTGAAAAAGGTACGGTTACCGATAGATGGAGAAAGTATCATTACTTTCTAAGCATTTTTTGCTTAACCATAATCGTTCGACGAAGCCACGAGGGGAAACATTTTGCATCGCGAAACGATTCTCGCCATCGATCGTGTGAACCTTATCTGGAGGATATTATCCGATACACTTAGCTCGTCCGAGATAGTGATTTCAAGACTCGTTGTAAGTTTGTACATGATACTTTCGTTCTTCCCCTCCCTTCTGTCTCCCTCTTCCGCTCCCGTTAAGCTACTAAACAAGACGCACAAACCGATGTCAGACAAACACCCTATCTACAGGGTGTTGAAGAGTTTGAACTAAAATAAAACGATTGAATCGAAAGTAACGAAAGATTAATAAATAAATTTAATAAGTGTGTCCGTTGTAAAGAAACGTGATTTGGGCAAAGTTCCCGAATGAATTATTATTCGAAGGTTCAATCTGTATAGAATATTATCACCGATTAATTTCATTTAACCACAATGTATTCTCGTTGCAGTCGCGTACCAGAGAGAACGCTCTGTACGTAATAAGGTGCAGTGGTTGTTCCCCACGACAGATTTACCTCGCGCGTACACACTGCAATGGTTCTCCTCTCTTGATCTATTTCGGTATGCCGTGCGGTAGGTTGTCGCCCGCACTCATAAATCAAATAGTCGAGACGGCGAATGGTTTATTTTGCTTGAGAATGCAGAGAGCCGTTGCGGCGCTATCGGGCGCCAAATTTCGCACGTTTCCTTTCCTTTTTCCTGTTTCTTCGATCCATTTTTCTTAATTCATACGTCTACCTATACGATTATGTCTTCGTGATCCCTTGAAACGGTCTGTCAAGCGAAGCTGAACTAATCCATAACGATTATTTTTTGAAAATGGAAGATCGGGATTCGAGAATCGAAAGAACGAAACGAATCGATATGTTTTCGTTCGATCGACCGAACGACCGAAGCTGGCCGCGATCGAGCGACGGTAAAAACTCGAAACGCGATATGTATCGAGAAACGAGAAACTCTCGCGGAGAGACTGAAAGAAAATAATGCTTCAACGACGAGAATTACTACTCTGTGTCGATCGGCTGAAGACGTGTTCGCGCTCCTTCTGTGAAGGTTGCACGGAAAGGTGACAGACCACCGTGAGCGTGAAACTGTAACCCAATAACCGTGGACAGTGTCTCTCAATTTTCTGGAAGCCTCGATCGAATTACCGGGACTCGCTGACTGACGGTCTGTTATCGATTGTTACTTCTCTTTTATCTGTCAACGGGGGAAAAAAGACTTTGCCAGTTTTATTTTCGATCGATACCATGGCATTGGTCGTAAAGTTCTTTACTGACGAGCAAACTCGACTTCCTTAAATTAACATTTCGTTTAACATTTATTTCAGTATTCAAAATAAATTTATGAAGCAATAGGAGGCCCTAACCCCTACATTGCTTTTTTCCCTAGGGGAAGCCGAGTTTGCTCGTCGGTGTACGAGTTATTGCATTCGATACCTCGTGAATCTATGCATTCCTATACATATATTTTCCCTCTAGGCAATGTTTTAATCCGCATAGTTTTCTTTGTACTTTCCGTTTAATAGAGATTCCCATACTCTCCCGTAATAACGGGTCTCGCGAAAAGAGTCGTGTTCCAGAGGTTAGGTCTTCCGCCACCGGAAGATTGTTAGGCCGCGAAAATATTCGTAATTGTCCGCGAGCGTATAATGCGTATCTCTTTCATAAAGAATCTTGAAGAATCCCGCGAGAAAGAATTTAACGAGCGCCAGGCACATATACACACATCGACAAATTCCTTCGGCTTCTGTACGAGAGAACACACTTGCACGCGTTACAAAACGTTCTCTCTCATGAAAATAATGAAGCTTATTTTCACTGAGATAATGCAGAACGAAACAATGAGAACTGGAAGGGATTGTTCTCGGGATGGAAATATATACCTATCCGTTGAGACGACCGCCACCGAGGGTAAACGTAACCTACATGACGCGCGCGTCCTCGTGATTTACGGCAACGTTTCAAGGAGACGAAAATTCTTTGTTCGCACGCGTAGGAAAGAATATTTCACCGCGTATATCGATTGCGTGTGGAATTTAAAACTAAACGAACGGTCGAGTAGGAAATATCATTCGGATCTCGCGCGTCCCATAAAATTGTTCTGTCCGAGGGATTCCCTTATTCCTTTGTTCTCGCGTGCGCGGGGCTATTCAGATAAACTGAGTATGTATACCGGTCGAATCGTCGTCCTCTGCGTCGCTGGGTTGCGTATACACGTCCGTATCGGACGATCGCAAAGCTCCCGAAGAAAGAAAAGAAAGGAAGGAAAAGAGAATTTAGGCACTCGGCTCGGGTGTCTCGCCGAAAGGGCCAAAGGGTGCCTCTATAGGGTTGCCGACCCCCTTTATCCCTTCACCATTTACACACCAACACCGTAAATTCACGTCTTCCATAGGATAAACCCCCACAAGTTTTCAACATCGTCTGTATCGTAGTATTTACGTGGTCGGCCTACGCACGTGTTTAGTAACTCGCGAAGTGCAATCGAAATTTGATAGTCCTGCTGGTCCCCTATATATCGAGTTTACCCTCACGATGGGCTACCAAGATAGATGTCCACTGGAGCACCGTTTTTTTTTAAGACCCTTTTTCTTATACTTATCGCGCTAAACCACACCTGGGCCAGTAGTGATGGACGATACAATACCTATCGATATTTCGAACATCAATACTTTTCAATTCCAATATCGATATTTGTGACGATATATTCCAGTATCGATACTTAACCCATAAATATCGAAGTTTCGATACAATCGTTGCATCTGTCGTAACCTAACAGGTCGTAAAAAAATAGATTAATCGCAAGCTCTTTCCATAAAGTTTGCGATTGGTCGATTCCTTTTTCACATTGTTGCCTGAGAATCTGCCTTAACAAATATCTGCTTAAATAAATGATTTATTTTTATTTTTGGATTATATTACTTCCAATTTAATTGCAACTATCGATACCGATAATATCGATATTTTATTCCCGATATACATGTGCATCGATACTCTGGGTGTCAGTACGTATCGATACCAAATACCGATACAATTAAAATTTATCGCCATCACTAACTGTACAAGGTGCGTTGTATACAAAAATACCAATTGTGTACATTATTGTTTATCCACCACGAAACAAAAATTACAAGTCGATTTTGTCCTTGGCAGCCAGCGCAGGTGGTTTGTTTTTTACCATCGAGCCACAAGATGCGGTGGTCGAGCAAGGAGGTCCAGCTAGATTGGACTGCGAGGCAAAGAGTTTCTTTGGTGCACCAACTATACAATGGCGAACGGACGACGGTCAACCGATTAACTTTATCGGGGATAGTTTTCGGTATATAATTTTCAAGATTACCTTTTATTCTTGGCACTTTTTGGAAATCCTTCGTCCTTACTTGTTTCTCTCTTTTTTTTCTTTTATTCTTCAAATTGTAGATCACAGCTAGCGAATGGATCCTTGTACATAAATAGCGTATACGGCAGTAGTGCAGAATTAACCGGAAGCTATCAGTGTTTAGCTTCCGTAGATAATGTTGGAGCTATTGTCTCACGAGCGGCCACGATTAAACTTGCAAGTTAGTATCTAGGATTAGCGGTTTAGTTCTCTCTCTAGAATCACACACAGTGTATCGTATAACTACACCATACGCGATTTGAAAGTGGCGCGCGCGAGTTCTGGACGAGTACACACAGAAATATCCATTTTGAAGGTCTGCCAGGATTCGAGAAGGAACCGCAAGACACTATGGTTTATCCGGGGCAAGTTGCATACTTAAGTTGCACACTACCTTCGTCCTCTAGTTCGCTGAGTATACAGTGGTTGAAAGACGAACATCCGCTTGTGCTGGACCGTAGTCGAATGTCTGTTTTACCATCAGGTAGCAATATATTTTTGTATTATCACAGACGAAATATAAGAATAGACCTAACATGCAATGTAATTTTCTGTCCAATGCTGCAGGGGCGTCAGAAGCCTCTGTACCATTTCAGTATTCCATTCCTTGCTAGCGAAACCAGGGCAATAATGTATGTACATATGTATCGCTATATGCAGTCACGGGTGTGTGTGCTGCGCGTTATCACGGTGTCGAACGTAGTTCCTGAAATCGGAAACTTTTATATAGAGGTGCGCTCAGACCAGCGTGATTTTCGTGGGACACCAAGTCCCATAAAATGTTAGGTCTATTCTTATATCTCGCCTGTGGTATTATTGATCGTGCAAAACGCAAGTACGTCATGTAAACATTGTCTTTCCGTTCTGTGTACGATAGGTGCATTAGAGATCGACGACGTTAACATGCAGGACATTGGATCTTACAGGTGTAATGCTAGTAGTTACGGACAACATAGACTGAGTAATAAAGCACAATTAGGATTATTGACGAGTGATATTGGTTGGTATAATCTTTTAAAAGATTATTATTTATATGTTTAGTATTCAAGGCAAGTGGTAATCTGTCGTTTGATTTTTACCTGATAGATCAGGAAAGTACACCGCCAGTCTTCATAGCTAAACCGTTTAGGCAAGAAGTTGTCGAAGGATCAACGGTCACCCTGGAGTGCGCTGCCAATGGGTATCCAAAGCCAAGTATATTGTGGCTGAAGGATGGTGTGGCCATCGATTTAGCATCTTTCGATTCTAGGTCCGTGTGATCGACGCATAACCACAATATACAGGGTGTCCTATTTAAATCGATCTCGTCGAATATCTCTGAAATTATTCGTGATACCGAAAACTGTTTCAAACAAAAGTTGAATGGTATCGAGGGGGGCATAATTTGATTTCAATAGTTTATTTGTAGGTGGAGGCGTAGAGGACGTATGAAGGTCGACTCTATTTTCTTAAATGGAACTATATATTTTTTAATGCATTGATCGCTGCAGCTCGATATTCTCTGTAAAAAATTATTAACCTATTTATACCTAGAAACCGTCAGTTTAGGAGATATTTGAATTCAAAAACTGCATTAAAAAATATATGGTTCCATTTAAGAAAATACTATTAAATAGGCCACCCTGTAGATTGTAAACAGAGAATTTTTCCAGCTGACGGTTTGTCATTTTATTGTTCAGGTATCGTAAAGTTGCTGCGTCCAGTCTCGTAATTAATAATGTCCAAGAAAGAGACGATGGTTCGTACCAATGTCGTGCCGAGAACGAAGTTGAAACTTTAGACGCAGCCGCTGACTTAATCGTACAAGGTATTTATGGCTGAGAATTGCTTGTGTGGACGAATTTTTAATTTACCTTTCTTTTTTTCTTGTTTTTAAATTTTGTATTACCCACATCTTTCCATCTTCAGTGCCCCCAAGGTTTGTAAAAAAGCCAGAAGACAAGGTAGCTAGCGAGAATCAAGATTTAGAATTTGAGTGTGACATTTATGGAAAACCAGAGCCGAAAATCTCATGGCTGAAAAATGGAGAACGTATCACGTTCAATGCGTACTGGCAAATCATTAATGGGTAAATTTTCTAATACCGATTCAGAACAGATTGGAAGCAAGCTGATTAATTTTCACGAGTTAAATACTTCTTGCGCGATTACTTCCAGCAGTTACCTTAGAATTAACGGTCTGCTGGCGATAGATGCTGGAATTTTTCAATGCATCGGAACAAATTCAGCCGGCAGCGTACAAGCTGCGGCACGTCTAACGATTAGCCAACCCAGTGAGTATACATTTCACAGCGTATGAAACTTTCCGTGTGAGTAATTTCGAGGATGATTTATTGTTATATTGTAGTTCTCAATTTGGTAATAGTGTATAATTCGGCCAATATCTCTGATTTTCTTCAAACTTTAATATGTTGAAAGGGGGGAAAATTATTTTTTTTTTCTATAAACAATTAAACCTCCCTTTTTACTGTTTTAAGATTATGTTCCTTCACTTAATCTGCATTTATAGTGACGTTTAGGTTAGAAATTTAACTTGAAATTAAAGGTACTTCTAATTGTTCGTGACATTTTTAAAAATGAAAATTTGCCTTTTTAGAGAGCCTCTTTCAACATATTAAAGTTTGAAGAAAATCGAAGGTACCGACTGAATTGTACACTATTATCCTCAAAGTTTGTGAGGGTACCTACAGAGTCAGTTGTGTGGTACAGAATACCTAAATATCTGTGATGGCTTTGTTGATATACGAAACAACGTAATACGGCCCGTGTCACAGCATTAAAATGGTTTAAGAAGGTTCACCTTTAGGAACCATAGAACTTACATTCTGTGCATGATTCATGCACACGTCTAAATTTTCCAGAGATATTCAGATATTCTGTTTCATTCCTCGTGACTCACTCCACGTTATTCTTTATCTTTCGTTTCTGTTCGACATTATAATTTCATTATTATTTCTTTGTTTTTTTTTCTTTGTTTTCCATTTGCGTGTCCTCCTCGATAACTGTGTTGCATGCTAACCAACTGATACCCAGGAAAAGCGAACTCCCACCGAACAACTACCCCGAAAACAATTCCCAAGAAGAAGTTACTGTTGCACCGTCAATTGTACAATAAAACGTGGCAGCACCCGAGCACCCTTTTGGGTCACACGTTGTCCGCGTTCACGCCGAATCCACCGTTGACCATCAGCCCGTCCGACGATCCAGCCGATCTTCCTGGGTCGGTTACGTTTCCCAATTCCCTATACGATCCAAAATCCCATTTTATAGACGACACAGACAGCCTGGAGTTGGCCGAAGGAAGCGTTCCATCAGCCCCGAGGAATCTGAGCCTCGTCATTGTTACCGCCAGATTCGTCACTCTGAGGTGGCAAGAACCGGAGAACACGAACGGGGACATTCTAAATTATTATATTTATTACAAGCAAGAAGGTGGTGAAAGGTAAGATGATTCGTTTCTTTAAACGATCCAAACAAATGTAAACCGTTCCCCCCACCCCCCGTCGTACCGTGCATATCATAATGAGTGATAAAATCTTGCAGAGAAAGAGTTATGAATACGCAACAAAAATTGGAGGCAATGATACGTGGTTTACAACCGAGTATGACGTATCAGTTTCGGGTGGTTGCCTTAAACGCTAGAGGTCCTGGAATGTCCAGCGAAGTATTACAAGTCACCACCCTCACAGAGGTCTGTAACAGAATTAAAAAAAGAAAATAAAATAAGCGTCTGGTATTGTTAATGTATATCTGTTATAATTAATCTCTTCTAATAGGCCAATGTTCCCGGACCTCCATTGAATTTAGAAGGGCACGCCACAAGCAGCGTGAGCGTCGCCTTAGCTTGGGAGAAACCGCAAGTTATTAACGGCCGAATTTCTAAATACATCATCACATTCGTCGAGGTATATATAAATATTAATAATTATCCTAGTGCTAAATACTCCTTGGTCCAGTTAATAGAGATCAATCATCCAGAGTCTAGGAACTCCGACATTCTTATATTTATGGACTCTCTATACACCTATACCTCGTTATACGGCATTTCGCTATAACGGCCTTTTTTAATTATAGCACTTTTTTGATTTACGGCCCACAATGTTTCTTTATACGGCCAAAAAAAAATGCATTTTTATAGGAAATTAAAAAGAATAAAATGCTTTATGAACTAAAAACTATATTATTTTATAAAAAATTGGAACAGATCCAATTGAATTTATCTAGGAACGTATCTAGGCAGTAAAGCGAGGTATGGGTGTACTATACTGGAACATGGTGCAATACATGCTTGCAGCTAATTGCAAATCCATTCAAAATATAAAGCTTAGAAGACACTATTATAAGTTATTACGTAACCTCAAAGTGTTCGTTGTGTGATATTTTTGAAGGGTGACAAACAGGAGATCACGCGTGAAACCACTAGTACCATGCACGAATTGGTGGACCTCGTGCCTTATACAGAATACAGTATTAGAGTCCAAGCCGTGAACGAGAACGGCCCTGGCGCGTTTAGCAGGGATATCATAGTGAGGACGTACAGCGCGCAGCCTACACAGCCGCCGCATAACATCACGGCAGAGCCAGCTAGTCCTACAGTGCGTCTTGTCCCTTGGCAGAGATGGGCAAATTATTAGATAAAGTTTCGAATAACGAATAAAAGATAAAAAAACAAGCACTTTGTCAATTTCAATCGTTTATACGTGGAAATTCCAATTTTTATAACAAAATAACACTTCTTCTTGAATGAATCAACATTTGGCAAATAATTATTTAATCTGATTAATTGTTTAAAGCTCAGAATGATGCCCTTAGATACTGTTACTTTTCACTATGTCAGAGTCTTCTTGCTCTCCAGAGAGTAACGAACTGCAGCACCATAAGCAACAGTTTCGTCAGGATTAATTCCCCAAGATGGTTCATTTACATCCTTCTTGTTCAAGTACCTTTAACTATATGTTATTCGAACAAAATTGTGCCCAACTCTGTCACTTGAAATCGTTCATTTGAAGCCGAAGTGTAAACGGTGTCATCGTGTAACACGTTCTATCTTTGATCGTAGAGTATTATTATAAGATGGGAGCCGCCGTTGATGGGAGGAAATGGAATTATCACCGGCTACAAGATCCGTTATCGCCGACAGGATCGTGGCTCGCAGCCAGTCACTATAACCACCGAGGGAAATCAACGCTCGAGAGTGCTCACAGGGCTTGAGAAACATGTCGTCTATCAAGTTCGCATGTGTGCCTTAAACGTGAACGGAACTGGGCCTTGGGCCGAATGGATACAGATAGAGACGTTCGAAACCGAGTTGGACGAGAAAAGGGTTCCGAATACACCCAGCAATTTAAAGAGTTAGTTAATATTTCTTCTTTTTCTTTTGTATTTTCTGCTATGATAGTTGACACATGTACAGGAAATATAGGACTTCGTCGACTCTAAATTTCAAACAGCTGTAAAATCAACAATTTCAAAATTGTTCAAAAATCCTTCGAGATACGTTTATATATCGCTAAAGACTACAACATATCCAAATTTGAACAAAATCCGAAATGGTGCTCCAGAAAGTGTCCGATTTTGTGTGGAATGATCCGTATGAAATATAAATACATATTTTCTATGTTACAGCAAAGGTGGTGTCGGATTATATACAAGTATTGTGGAACCCACCAAAGGATCAGAGTATAAAGGTGAAAGGATATAAACTTGGATGGGGTAAAGGCGTCCCTGATGTTGAAGTACGGCTTCTCGAGGGAAAAGAACGTTCTTATACCATCGATCAATTAGGTGATTTTTCAAGTCATGTAATCGATATAAAATCGAGGTGATAGGAAATGATAATTTTGTTGGACGTTTTCGTAGAACCAATGGCGGAATACGTAATCAGCTTGAGAGCAACAAATGATGCCGGCGATGGTCCGCCAGCTTATGCAAATGTAAGAGCGTCCGAATCTTCTTTGCCTTTGATACCGCCGGTTGGTCTTAAAGCTGCCGTTTTATCTGACACTACCGTAGTATTATATTGGACTGACACAACTTTAGCGAAAACTCAAGTATGTTCATCGAATATTCCGCAGTTTTGCCGGGAAACCCGGGAAAGTGTTTTGATGAGCATTAATGTTGCAGTTTGTGACGGATAATCGGTATTACGTGGTGCGTTATACGCATCATCACAGCAGCAGTCCTCGTTTTAGGTATCACAACGCCACTGATCTCAACTGTATGATACATGACTTGAAACCGAACACTCTGTACGAATTTGCAGTGAAACTAGTTAAGGTATTTATGATATATTTAAAAGGGAATCCTTGTCAGATGTCATTAGATAATAGTGTAAAATTCGGTCGTTACCTCCGATTTTCTTGAAACTTTAATACGTTGAAAGTGGCTGTCTAAAAATGAAAAATATTATTGTTATTATTATTTTTCAGGGAAAGCGAGAATCACCGTGGAGCATGGTCGCGTCGAATCAAACGCAAGAAGCGGTGCCGAGTTCTGCGCCAAGGGATTTGTCGATACAAATTATCGAGGACCGTCCGACTTCTGTCTTGCTACGATGGCAACCACCTAAACAGCCTAATGGACCGATCACAGGTATCAATTTGACTTTCATCTCCACGAAGGCATTACAAATGCACAGGCAATTATATAAAAACATGTTTCAGGATACATTATATTTTATTCGACCGATAACACAAAGTGGGATCGCGACTGGTTACTCGAAGCAGTTATCGGCGACAAGACTGAGTTCATCGTGAAAGGCCTTAAACCGAGTACAACGTATTATTTTAAGATTCAGACCCGGAACTCGAAGGGTTACGGTCCATTTTCCACGACCGTTCCGTTCAAAACACCACTGAGTAAGTGGGTTGATCGTTCATTTAACGGCCACGTGCACGCATTCAAACAATTTCGATGGTTTTTCTTTCGACAGAGTTTCTGTTAAAGTATTGCGTACGGTGTCATTATCTTCAGTAACCATACTATTTCTGTTCATCTCTTTGTATCGTGTGTACAGTAAATCGGTGTATGTTAATTATTCTGTTCAATTTTTTTATTTCTACGCTAGGCAATGGCATGGATGTCTATGATGAATTGCATGGTCGAGGTAAGATATTATTATTCTCTTTTAGATCATTTTCTTTTTTCTTTTTTTTTTTTCGTGTTAGAATTGCATGCAACTGAAAGTAGTGAGTGTCGAAGTAATGGAAACGTTAAAAGCGAGACGAATAATTGTTTTTTGTTGTGTAGAGCGATATGGTAGAATCCATTTCACGAATATCTAATAGTTTTTTCTAATAAGGAATTAATGTAACTTACAGACGGACGAGGACTCTCGAATATACTGATCTATATCATTGTGGGCTGTTTCATTGTTCTTATCACTGGCGTGGCAGTTGTAGTGGTGGTGATGTGTTGCAAACGGAATCCGGACACGCCTGACAGGAAGAAGGGGTATGTAATACGTGTGTACGAAATTTTATATTTCCATCACGTCACGTTTGTGAGTTCTGAAAATTACAATTATAATATTTAGATACATGAAGGACGCGAATCCAAAGACAAATATCAAGCCACCAGACTTGTGGATTCACCACGATCAGATGGAGCTGAAAGCTCTGGAAAAATCCTCGATAAATGGAGAAGCGTCCACCAGTGGTGTAGCTAGTAACACATTACCCAGATCCAGTAATCAGGATTACAATCAAGATAGTGTACACGGAAATTCTAGTTCGTTGGATAAACGTACTTACGTACCAAGTTATATGGGTAAGTGTTGAGAGAAAAATTCTATACCAGAGTATCGTAACATATCACACAACTGCACAGAATTTCAGTTCCTCCCAATTGAATTTCAATATTGTATTCTTTTGCAAGTATACACAAGAAATGAATACAATTTAGTTTGATCATAGTCATACACGATTCTAATGATTTACTTCGATTTATGGGTACCCTTAGTTGATTAATGTCTTGAAAGAGAAATTATATTTCGTTCACTGTTTTCCTGATTTTTCGTCGATTTTTTGTTCATTCACACGATATTAGGTGGTAACACTGACGAGAAGTGCTCGACCCTGAGCAGGCAGCATAGTCGAGGAAGCCATAAACCTAAACTCGTTACACTGCCTGTTGACAGTGCGTCTTTACATCAACGTAAGTTAATGTTAAATAATGCTAAATAGAATTGGAATATCGTTGGTTCATGCGCATTGATGTTCGAGGAGGTTATATTGAAAAATAGATATATTTTAAGAACGATATAAGGTTGTCTGTCCACTCCACTCCGATTAAACTTAGTGTATTTAAGCTGTACCAACAAAAACCTCGACCTGTTACAGCTATAGCGACCGCCACGCCAATAGTGAACACAAGTATGTCGCAACCAACGATTCATACTTCCTGCAGCGACACACCATCCGTCAGGCAGAATTACCCCCGAACAGTGGCACAATATAGCTTAAGTCGAGCGCACATTACATTAGAACCAACACCAGAATCGAGTCCAGATTCTTGCAACATTTCAAGCTCTTACGAACCGCTGCAAAACCAAGTAAGGTTCTTGTAAGATAACAAATGTTCCCCTTAAATAAACAATTCAGTTGTGCGTATAATAATGCTGATTTACAGCAATTATCGTACGGTACCAGCGGACAGCCGTACACTGGAAGTACTCAGTACGCTTCAGGCCATTACGGTAACAGCAGTCAGCCGTCGAGTAGCGGCGGAGGAACGGATGGTAGTGGTAGCAGTAAGAGGATGCAAGGCCATCCCTTAAAAAGTTTCAGTGTTCCAGCGCCACCGCCTCAGTCGGCACCTTCCACGCCGGCACAACAGAAACACGGTAGTAAATCTTATTATTTACACGTACAGTGGATTCTAGCTATATTGCCACTAAACATATTGCCACTAAACAGTCCACTGTACCTCTTATTTCCTAATGGCGTCATTAATTGTACGTTGTGGCATCGTTATTGCTTTTACACAGTTTCTCAAGTGACTGTGAGACCCACGATGTCTGGTAGCCCCTACAAGAAACCACAAAGCACCACGCAATTAGCAAAGAACCGATTAGCCTCCGTTTCAAATCCAATACACACTTCGGAAGAAGTTGAGCGGTTAAAGGTAAGGTTAATCCTTCGATTAAAGTCCATGCTCTTGAGAATGTAACAGTGGGAGAATGATTGTTTGTCCCGTGTTTACAAAATCACTCGAGTAATGATCTGATTGCGTGTCAACTGTAGTTGTATTTAACTCTCATATGCTCCCCAGGAATAGTAACATAAGACCCTCGGGTGATATTTCACCCATTTTTTTCTTTACACTCAAATTAATGTTATTATTAACCTGTTATACTGTATTTCATAAAAAGTTAGTCACATTTGTTAACTTATTCCTCACATTTTGCAATTATTACATATATAAATAGCATTTTTATCTCAAATTACAAATATCACAGCATTTGAAAATAGAAAATGGGTGAATTTTCACCCGAGGAGCGTATGAGGGTTCAACAGGTTCCCTGCAGGACGTGGGAACAGTTCATTGTGTTGGTTTTTGATTGCCAAAAAGAAGTCTTTCTTTCTTCTATATCTAATGCACGATATTTTATTTATCTATAATATATAGTAATACAGAAAAGGTATATAACACCCTCAACTCTCACTCTCAAGAAGAAGTCTTCTACGCCATATTGAATACCAACCTTCCACACGTACACATACTTATAGCTAAAGGTAATATCCACGACACATTGACTATTGTAAATTTTCTTTACAGCCTTCGTACAGTACAGAAGAACTGAATCAAGAGATGGCGAACTTGGAGGGTCTCATGAAAGATCTGAATGCCATAACAGCGTCCGAGTTTGAGTGCTAGAAGAGATTCCGCAGACCTTGTGCCATCTCAATTCAATAGACTGCAATGATACATTCTCAATGTTAGTACCTGAGAGAGATAAGGTTTGTCACGTGATCACGTTACACGATATAAAACTTTTCTTTTTTGCGGGGATTATTATATTTCGGCACACGGAAACGCAGTAACGCGCGATTGGCAATAGACAAAAAGTCAACGGGGAGGGGGCCGATGAACGGCGTCAGTATCGAACAGTTTTCGAACGGTTTGCGCCAAAAACGAACGTCGACCCAGTGTGATTGGACTGGAACAAGAGTGTTTCCTAGTCAATTTGTTCTTTTCCTCCGGTACTAACGTTGTTTTCTACGGTGAAACGCAGAAAAAATATATATATATACTTGCCAATGTAACTGAACACTGCCACACTCTTGTCAGTGGACTTGCGTTTTGCAAGACTGTGTGAGTGGTACATTTTTAAAAGTGTTTTTACGCAAGAAATCGGACGGTTTATTACGAACGTTCGACCGTGTATCTTTTTCTATGTGATCGAACACGTGGTGTGTACATAGATACGATTGAAACAAAAGGACGTCCTGAAATGTAAGGTCTATCCTAAATAATGTCTGAATCCTTTCTTGCGATTAGGGTACATTACATTGATGACTAAATGAAGTCGTAGAGAAGAGTTTTTCGAATTTTATACGTGTAAAAGTGACGGGGTAATCGTGTACGGATTGCTCCTTTTTATATGCTTCGGTGACATTGACGATCTTGCCTAAGAAGAGAAGAAGAAAACGAATTCGTACTACAGCCAGAAGCTCACGTGCTCTTTGCCACGATTTGTAATTTATTCTCGTAAGAGTACATTTTTCTATATCGATACTGTCGACTGCCATACTTACGCTTAGGACGGTGGGATCACGTGAGTCTCTAAAAGCGAACAATTTACAGTTCAGTGTGTAAAGCGGAAAACAGAAATGTTTATTCTATTTCTTCGTTTCTCCGTCAGACTCTTTTTAACGACAATTTCGGTAATAGATTTTGTACGGTACAGTACATTCAGACTAGTTGATTTAGTATTAATTAAACGGAAACGAATCGTTAACTGTAAACTCACCTATACATATATTTATAGGTGAATTTTCGGCTCCATTCAGAATACTAATCTTTATGGTTATTACTTAACAGAAATTTCATTTCAGTCGTTTACAATCCTCTTAAATATTAGTCTGGCAGTCAGTATGTTATCGTGTTTGATCGATATCGACCAGCCATTTCTAAACTGTTCTGAAATCGTCACCTGTGATCCTATTACATTTTCTTTAACAGGCTGAGATTTTCCGCGCTGAACACTGTGTAACGGCCTTAAAAAAAAAAATAATGTTCGTATTAAGTTGCCCTTTATTCTGTGGTTGCGGCAGCTGAGGAATTTCATTCGCCAGGGAGAACGATACGCGTGTGTGCGCCGTTTTCAACGGGACAATGTAGTATTATGATCTCATCGACAAAAATATTATGTTAGAATTAAAGAGCGTACATCGAGTATGGGTATTACGCACGGGTTAGGCTTGTATAGCGTTTACAAGAGAGAAAAGAGAGATCATCGCAAAGGAACACACACACACACACACAACATACAACAGTAATTTTCGCCGTCGATGTATTTACCGTTTTGGTGTGGTTAAGTTCACCTTAAATAACGATTACGTTCGAAACGTCCAGTTAAGGGTACGGTCTAAATGATAGTATAAATGAAATTCACAAGAGTCGTCTTTGCGAGCTATTTTTTAACAGATGTTTACAAATTGTTGTTTGTAATGTGTATACGTTGTTTTGTTTCGAAGGACACTCGAGAAAGAGACTATCAGCGACGAGAAAATGCTTGCAATTTACGCGCGTATTTTGCAGGCGCCAACAGATCAAATTTTTCTATCACTCGATTAACCGATTGATACGCATATTTACGGTGAAAAACATATGTGTATATATATATGAAGCGACAGTTTTTTTTGGTAATTATTTAGAACATGGTCCTCAGCTCCGATGTCAACGAACTTGAAATATATTGTCAACTTTTTTCCTATACATATAATAGACAAAATTCAATGTAGTAGTAGCAGTTTTTCGCGAATTTCTCGGAAACTAAAAGAGTCCGCCTATTATATTTACGTATAGAAAAAAGTTGTTCAGAATGATGGTCTTGACAACATATTTCAACGTCATTGAAATTGGTGCTGAGGATTATGTTCTAAATAAATACCGTTTTTTTACCGATATCCGTCGAGATATATTACATAATAGATATACTTCCTTCCAGTGCTAGGGATTTGCTACGTATAACTTTTGTACACGTTTTACTGTGCGATCGAACGGTCTCTTTAGTATTAATGGAAACGGGGACACCGAGGACGTGCAGGATAATGTTAACAATTTAACCGCGAATCGTCACGTGAAACGCGATCGAAGGCGAAACGCCGCTTGTAGTATTCCGTACTGTACCATCTTTTTTAACCACTTTCGTATTTTCCTAACGAATATACAGGGTGTAAAGGATGAACGTGTTGCAAGGGAAATACCTGTAAAAGCAAATGAAATGCTTCAGTGCAGTTTTTTGTTTAAGTTTTAAATTTAATTAGTGCTCAACAGGACAACTAACAAGGGAACGTATCGAACCCAGACACGCCGATTTTGATTGTCCATCTCGGGAACTAGAGGGTACAGATACAAATTTTTTGTTGTAAATGGTGTGTTTTTTAATGTGAAATGTAATCATTTAAATGTTTTTTTTTTTAATTTAATTTTTTTAATATATTATTTAAACAAATCGGGGTTCGATATGTTCCCTTGTAAGTACAGTAAATTCTCGATGAGTGATGGAAGGCTCCTCGGCACTTGGAAGGAGAGGTACCCAGGTGTAACACGGACTTTTTAATGAAGTTTAGCACAGTGATAGGGCTTGGAATTATAATCCAATGATATTTCTTTCAGTCGCGTATGGCCATTAGTTTATGAAATATTTAATGTTCAGTGCCGTGGAGTCTCCGAACACTCATCGAGGATTTACTGTACTTTGAAGTAATATTCAGACGAAATATACACTTTATAAAATTGCTTCTTCGAAGGAATAGAAATTCGAAAATGATTAAATGAAATCACGTGGCTTTCATGGGCACTAAAAGGTATTTCACTGTAACATATTTAGTTTTAGGCCTCGCATTGTACAAAGATTATGTACGCCAGAGGGGTAAGGCACCAACGTGTGTTTTTTTTTCGTTGCGGCAGAAGTCTAATATGGATATAGTACAAAGCAATATGTGATACTCCTGCTTTAGGAATCGTCGGGTTTTCGCCCAGAGTATTGCATATTACTCGAATATTTGCTGCTGCACGGGAAGTACGCCACTCAATTTCGAGCGAACATGGTTTTTTTGTCGTTGGTATAGCTTGGTTAAAAATGACACGAGTAGTATCGAGACATCCCTATATTCAACCACACCACATGAATTCCATTTATTTCCAGATGTAAACATTACTAGACAATTCTAATTAAAATACCTAATGAACGTCAGGCATCCGGTTGGCTTGAATTTTGTTTAAACAATTGTATCGATATTGGTTCAAATCGTTGACCGATATTTGCTAGGGTTTCGTTAGAACAACTATGAAATATTTTTTTTATTCGAAATCTCAACTATTTTATAAAATTTTCATATTGTCACTAACAGAAAATACGTGGACAGGAGTGAGCTATACCGATAAACAAAGAACAGCTTGTACATTAAGTATATATGTAATATATATATATGAAATTTGTAATTATCGTGCTGCTCAAAGGGCTATTGTCCCTTTGTAAGTAAAAGGAAACAGGCCTACGAGACGGCCTGCGGAATATTTTACCACAAAAGTATAGTAGAATAGTTATATACATAGTATATATATATTTATCTATATAATTATTATTTATTGATTTTTATGTATGCTGGGAATATCGAGGATAAATGAATGTTGCGAGATGCTAAAGGCTGGTTGCTTTTGATCATTTCCATTGACATCGTATCGTAGTCATCGTCGCTATCATTGTCGTCATCATCATTCTCATCCCATTTTTCTCATTGTCATTCATTCATTCTTCTCTTTAATCGATAATTAATGGATTCGCTAGAATTAGTACTGAAGTTCGACGATAATCGAGATGAAACGAAAAATAAGCTACAGGCCACTGATGTATGTAAATAAAACACCACCACTTTATAAGATAATTAAGTATTTATATACATTATATATATACACAGCCATTATAAAATACAATTATTATATTTGTACGATATGTATTAAGGCAGCCATCTCCAATGAAACATTCAATAACAAGTGTGTGATAATATTTGTAAAACTTGGTATCCAATAAACAATCTTATGTTCTTTACAAGTTATCGGTTCAGCTTTGAATTTTGAATTTTAATTCGTGCAATCAGTGAGAAAAAATATTAACATGGTATTATAAACGCAATTCAAGAATAAGTGATGTAGGTGAGAATAGTTTTTGCCACTCTGGTCATAAGATACTCTGTACATAGCGGCAAGAATCATTTGTATAGCAAATTTTTTCATTGATAAAAGTCCTTAGGTCACATGAAGCCCGTTCGAGTACACACAATTTCAAAGTACAAAGCTTATTACTAATGAAACATGCGTGTCACACATACATAAAATTATATAAATTACAGCGTAAAAAAATTAGTGGATTCATCAGTGGCGCCATCCGCGGCAAAACGGTGAAACTGTTAGACAAATATTATCGACAGATGAGTGCACGTTTTCTAGAGATAATTCCAATTTTCGCCACCAGGTGGCTACAATAAGAATTCCAATTTTTTGAATTTGCAGTTTTCTCGCGCTTTTTGAAAGTCGTACATTTACATACTTTGGAATTTATTTTATTGAGTTGTGCAGGATACACCAACTGACAACCCAGATAGCACATGACGCCTTAAAGACGCCTACTTTACAGCTATTTTAGGTCTAAGGCGTCTTTAAACCGTCTTCAAGGCGTCATGTGCTGTTTGACAAAATGGTAAAACAAATTAACAGAAAGTCTAGCAACATAATCTGTGTGAAATTGGGGGCAAATACGGAACAAAGTCTGCGCGAGCCAATTTGCTGCATATGTTGCTGCCAAGGTGTGTTACAGCAAATCTTACATCAAACTAGTAGCCATAACT